ACGGCCCGCCAGGTACACTGATATTAGGGACGTGGTAATGTAAGCCGTCGGTGGGCGAAAACTCTATGGGGTACTAATAAAAAGCTGGGGTAAGTCAGTGACTTCAATGGTGGTCAACGAAGTGATCAAACGCCTGGCCCATGCATGCACATGTGGTCAAGTGCCAATTGAACATTGAATGGCCTGTGGGCACTGGGCCCACTCCAGCCGAGTCCCCTGGCTGGCTTCCATGTCCGCTGTTGCACCAGACTGCTGCAGGTCGGTTGGGGCACCTTAAGTGCTGCCTGGCCTGCAGAGCACGTGAAATCTTCTAAAGGCAACACAGCACTGAGGGCCCACCACTACCAGATGACTGGAGCGTTAATAATCCGTGCCGCTATTTTGTGCCAGCTTAACTTAATCTTAATGACGGGGCATGACATAAGCGCACTGATTGCTTCTGAACTTCTTGACAACCAGACACATAAACTTGCGAGAGCTGCGTCAAGCCGTTGCACCCACCTCCCTGACCAAACGCAAAATCAGTATCGCTCTGCTTCGTATTCTTCCGAATGGCCAATCTCTCAGACGACTCGCTTTAGCCGACGCACAATCATCATCTCCCTTCGTATCCACTGGCCATGTCAACCCCTTGAATCGCTAAGGAATCTCCAATGATCATTGCACCTTCCCATGGTCGGATTCCGACAGCTCTTGACACCAACTTCTAGCAGCATGAATTCACGGCAGCCTCATTTCAACAAATTTTATGACGATCGGGTGGGGGCTCATCGCCACGTTCAGTCTCCTGAGCGCATCTTGGATCGCTTCAACGAACCAACCATTATTATAACTGCGGTCGTGCTCTTCGTCGCATGCGTGGCCAAGGCCTACAATCTAGAGCTGTCTCTAGACGCCATATTTTACACTGCAACAACGTATTTGTGGGACTTTGTCGTTTTCATTGTACCAACTCCATTCATCGTTGTTCTCGACAACTGGCTGAGCCCGAGCTCAATGTCAGAATCGCCGCCAAGTACACATGCCGCCAAAAGCAAGGCCATGAGGAGGCTCATGGGTCTGGATCGCTCAGGCGGCATGATGGAATCAGTCTTTCAAGCTAGAAGCAGGGCCTTGTCTGTCACAGGTTGTGTTCTGGGCTTGAAGTTGGATCCCGAGCGGCCGGCTGGTTTGGGTAACCGCGATAATTCTTGTTATCAAAACAGCATCCTGCAGGGGCTCGCGTCGCTTCCCTCGTTCCCCGAGTATCTGTCAACATGTGTACGAGCTATTGACACGTATCGACCAACCAACGACGTAGCCCATACGCTGCGGTCCCTTATTGCCGATTTAAACGACACATCAAACAATGGAAGAACGATATGGACTCCTAGTTTACTCAAATCTATGAGTACCTGGACCCAACAAGATGCTCAGGAATACTTTTCAAAAGTCCTCGATGATATTGACAAAAGCGTGGCCAGAGCCGTCAAATCCATGCGCCGATATTCAGGCCTAGAAGCAGACTGCAACAAGGACGACTCTTCCACAAGCGAGCACAGTGATGACAGCGGATACCAAAGCCTTGCTTCGAGTTCGGATTCGGCGGCAAAGAAGTCGTTGCGAAATCCACTAGAAGGACTATTAGCACAGCGTGTGGCCTGCGTCCAATGCGGTTATTCCGAGGGCTTGTCCATGATTCCATTTAACTGCCTGACCCTCAGCCTGGGCCTGGATAAAAATCAACATGATCTCTATGAGAGACTGGATTCATATAGCAAAGTCGAGGCAATTGAGGGAGTCGAATGTCCCAAGTGTACCCTGCTTAAGGCCCAGAGGCTGCTTGGTAAACTGATTGAGAAGCTGAAGGAAAATGGTTCCAGTTCGGAGCAAATGGAGGAGCCTCTTCGCAGGCTCGAGGCAGTTGAGCTAGCTCTTGAGGAAGATGATTTCGACGATAAGACGGTTTCCGAAAAGTGCAAGATTTCGGCCCAAGGAAAAGTCAACACGACCAAGACGAAGCAAATAGTGATTGCGCGTCCGCCAAAAAGCCTGGCGATTCATGTCAACCGATCCGTGTTTGATCCACGAACGTTTGACATGATCAAAAACTCAGCACCCGTCTCCTTTCCCCTGACCCTGGATTTAGGACCGTGGTGCTTGGGTAGTGCAGAAGATGTCGAGGAAAAGCTAGCCAGCCATAGCGAATCCAGCGAGGAACAGTGGCTGTTGGACCCCAAATCATCCATGATCGCCGGAGATTTGAGCCCGTCCAGGTTGACCGGACCTATATACGAATTGCGAGCTGCGGTGACGCATTACGGACGTCATGAGAACGGCCACTACATATGTTATAGAAAGTACCCTGATTCGGAGGTCTCCTCAGACAAAGACTCGTCCTCCGCCGATGTCGACGACACTATTGATCGGGATACAACAGTTGGCGATGCTGATCAAAAGAAGGGCTTGACACCACCTCATCGACAAAATTCGGGCTGGTGGCGGCTGAGCGATCATAATGTGAGCAAAGTCGACGAAGACGTCATCATGTCCCTGTCGCCGGGTGTCTTTATGTTATTTTACGAATGCGTGGATCCCAGTATGATTCTGCAAAACGAAACGGACAATATGGAAGACGCTCAGGAGGTCTCAACACCAAACTCGGAGTCTCTCAAGACGGCAAATAGAGCTGATGCTGAGAATCGTGAAGGTATCAGCGAAGCGCAAGTCCTGCCTGTTGACGAGAGAGAAACTTCAGAGATGCCCTCTATGCCGAGCCCAGCAAGCGACACATCGACGTCGGAGACTGTCAACACCACGACGGACACGATGGATGCGCCAACGGTGATTGAGTCTGCAACATCAAGTGTGTCTAGATGGACGCATGACGAAGATGATGCTTACAGGAAGAACAGGGTCGAGGAATGAGGGTAGGAAATAACGAGAGTTTTGTTTCTGGTTCGATTTCACTCATCAATGGAGGGAGCTGCTCATGTTGGGGAATTGCATAGCGATGGAGTTCAAATGGCATTCATTTCATTCACTCGAATTGCGCGGTGTTATTGTATATTATACTAGGTGACATGAAGGTGAGGTGTCTTGGGTGAGCGTCGTTGATTGTTTAACGTCGTGGTTACGGGAGGATGGGAAAGAAGGGGTTGGCACAGCATACCACTAGGTAATTAGACGGGGTGCAGCGGAATGACTCAATCATGAATGCTCGTGGCATGGCAATATCGAGTTTATTATTAAGCTTACGTCTTGGCACACGACTCGGCGGCCATTGTGATGACCACACACAGTCGTAGGGCTAGCCATGTGTACAATGTAATAGAGAGAGGTGTCGGACCTGACTAGTCAGGACCAGACATGGAGCGATTTCCCCCCTGACTAGGTTCTCCAACACGAGATTTCAGGTGACGTGCGAATGGTGCGGCCCTCGTAGCACGAGACACCCGATAGCCAGATGATTTCTAGGGCAGCGATCCCTCTTGGGCCGAGAGCCATTCACAATCCCCACGTGGGCTCAGTGCTGCGACTTGGGAGACGCGGCTCCGTCGACGACGGGCAATGGCAGCTTCCTTTGAAGATGGCGGCTTCGAGGTGTCAAATGCTTATTCCGGCCTTATGGAGTGTAGAGGCGAGGCGATGAAAATCGGCACGGACCCCAAGCCAACAAAAGTATGTATGTACCAAGTTTGTTGCTGGCGCTGGGCTGGTGCGTGAGAGGCAGCCATGGCGAGGCGTTCGACGAACCCGGAATGCGCCCCAGGAAGTCAATATTTTTATCTCATGTGCGGAGTACATACTTACGGCGTATGGTACGCATGTACGGAGTACAGTTTAAGCCCTGAATGTTTAGCCATGTGTAACATCAGTGGGTAGGCCAGCTATACGGAGTAGTTATTTACTAACAGCTGTTAAAGTGGGCCATATATTGTTTTCTAAAAAAAAATAAGGAGCCTGCCTAGATTATTAGGTAATATAAGGAAAAACAAGCGAGACTAATATTGATAAAAAGTACTAATCTTTTTATAAAAATTATATAGGTCTTTTAATATATTTTACTCCACTTTACGTACTCTTAATTTCCTGACAGATATTCTATTGGGCTTTTAGCCCCTGTACGCTCCGTCAGAGGTCACTGCTGGCTAAACTTACAGGGGATTGTACGCTGGTATTGTTTGAGATGCAGGCTCTAACCGTGGGAGAACAGCCTAGGGTGGGGCGGCCACGATTCAACCCAGCTCGTCTCGTTGGGGGGGTTGCCTGTCAACTAGTGGAGCCAGTGCCGGGTCATAGGCTTGGGCCCGGGGGCCGGACTGCATGTGTGCTGTTCTGGCGGGCTGCCTCGGTGCCTACTTACTTAAGTACCTTAAGTCTGGTCAATGCTCTGGTACCTGGCAGGAGTACGGAGTACCAATATCTATGACGGAGACTACGCCGGGACCTTCAACCTCGAGTTCGCCGCGGTTCTGTCGTCAATTCCAGCTTGAGATGCTGAAAAGGGGGCCCGCCCAAGTAAGTCCCTTGCCAAGTTGCGATAATAGCAATCGGCTGTTTCAATAGCTGCGTCCAGCAAGGCCTGTGCACGCAGTATTACATGTATGCGCAACACTGCATCTACTCCAACAAGTGCGCCATCTTATTCCCCCCGACGCCAGCGCCCTCGACGGTGTCGGTCGCAGCTGTCGGTGCCACGCTTTGACCCCAGCGCCAACCTTGCATTCAATCCTCTCCTGACACGGCGACAAGAAGCCCGCTTTCAATCATTGCCTTCACCACCATCAACGCCATCAACGCCGTCCAGCCCCAACACCGCCCCGCGTGCCTAGTCGTCTCGTCTCGTCGGCAGCCGGCATCGTCGTCCTTTCTTTGCCCATCCGCCCACTCTCTGCTACATGTGTGCGTCCCGCGCACACACGCCAAACTTGAACAATTCACAACGACTTGAGCGTCCTCGCATGGCCGGCCAAGTCGCCATCGCTCGTTGCCGTTCCATGTCGCCCCGCCATCTCGCAATGTCCTCTTCTTCCTATTCCTCGAGCACCAGCTCCCCGACCCCCAGCATGTCCGCCGTGAGCCCGCCCAAGTCGTCCTTTGAGATGGACGACGACGTTCCTCCTCGCCTCGCCGCCGACAAGACGGAGCCACCTCTCAAGAAGACGCTACACACTGCCGTGTATATTTCGTACGTTTTTTTTTATCAATATGCGGCTACAAGCAAGCGGTGATCCTGGATCGACATGCTCGCGCACCTAGATGGCTATCATTGTCCGCTTTGTTTGAAAAAGGCCGCTAACCTGCGACTCGCCCCAATGTAGATTATGGATTTTCATTTCCAACCTTACTATTTTGTTCAACAAGTGGCTAATAGACACGCAAGGATTTCGTGAGTACTCCGTGATGATAACCTGCTACTCTTGGAACCAGGCTGCTAACCAACGTCCTAGGCTTCCGTAAGTCCGCTGCTCGAGCAGAGGCCCCGTGACACATCCAATGGCAGACAACATGACTGACCGCGACGACAGCAATCCTTCTCACATGCTGGCATCTAGTTTTTGCTACCATTGCTACCCAGGTCCTCGCTCGAACCACGACGCTCCTCGACTCCCGCAAGAAGCTGCCCCTGACTCCTCGCCTCTACGCTCGAACAATCCTCCCCATTGGTATCTTTTACTCCGGCTCGCTCGTTTGCTCCAATGTCGTCTACCTCTACCTCTCTGTCCCCTTTATCCAGATGCTCAAGGCCGCGGCGCCCGTCGCCGTTCTCTTCACCTCATGGGCATGGCGCGTTGCCGAGCCCAACTTGGCATCCTTCCTCAACGTTCTATGGATTGTTGCCGGTGTGGCTCTGGCTTCCGTGGGAGAGATTCATTTCTCCTTGATCGGCTTCATGTACCAAATGGGCGGTATTGTCTTTGAGGCTATCCGTATCATCATGATCCAAGTCTTACTTAGTGGCGATGGCATGAAGATGGACCCCCTTGTCGGACTCTACTATTTTGCTCCGGTCTGCGCCGTCATGAACTTCCTCGTCGCGATCCCAAGCGAGCTTCCCACCTTCACCTGGGCTGCCGTATCCAAAGTCGGCGTGGGCATGTTGTTCCTCAACGCGTCCATTGCATTTTTGCTCAACGTCACAAGTGTCTTCCTGGTATGTTGCCCTCACATCCCATCCTCTATGGCAGAAGTAATTTCTCAAAAGCTAACGGCTTCAGATTGGACGTACATCGGGTCTAGTCATGACCCTCACCGGCATCTTCAAAAACATCCTCCTCATCCTCGTGTCCATTATCATCTGGAACACCAAGATCAGCTTCATGCAGACCGTTGGCTACGCCATTGCCCTCGCCGGCCTGACGTACTACTCCCTCGGATACGAACAGCTGTCGAAGCTGTTCCAATCCTCTGCAACATGGGCATCCGGTGTGTGGGGGGCAACGTCTGCGGCGTCCCGAGGCTCGGGTTCTTCCGCCTCGAGGAGGTGTGTCCTCATCTCCTTCTTCATCTTTGGCGGCTTGTTCGTTTTTGTTGCCGCGCTGCAACACTACGACCCTTCGACCAAGTCGCTGAAATTGCCGGCTTGGTTTGGCACGGAATAAAATGACGTATTTGTAATAAAGAACCCATTATATAATAGAAGTGTAACCATTTTTAGCGTTCCCCTAGAAAAGAAACAGGATACAACAAACTCGCCCTGGCTGTATGGTGTCTTCCCAAGTATAAGTATGCGTAGTATACAGAGCTGATGGGGCGCCCTCGTATGCAATTGAGCACACGGGGTTCCTCGTACATGTCCGGGTATCATGGTCATAATACATCCTCCGACTAGCGGCTCCTGCTTCGTCGACGCCGGCTAGTCGAGCGGCTGCGCCTCCGTTCTCGTCGAGGAGATAGACTGCGATCTCGTCTGCGTCTATCGTCCCTGTCCCTATCCCGATCCCGATCCCGATCCCTATTCCTGTCTCTGTCTCTGTCTCTGTCCCTATCCCTATCCCTATCCCTATCCCTGTCGCGGTCTCTGTCGCGGTCCCTGTCTCTATCTCTGTCTCTATCTCTGTCCCTGTCGCGGTCTCTGTCGTGTCGCTCCCGCTCCCGCTCCCGCTCACGACTCCTCTCTCTATCTCTGTCCCTATCTCTTCCTCTATCCCTATCCCTGTCCCTATCCCTATCCGTATCGCGGTCACGATCACGCTCACGCTCACGCTCGCGGTATCTGGTCCTATCACGACTGTGGCTCCTCGATCTACTTCTGCGCCGGTCGTCACGGACTGAAACGGGGAAAGAGTCAGAGTTAAAGTTGGAACATACGAATGCAGCGCACTCACCAGGCTTTTTGTCGTCTACACCAGGGATGGGGAGACCCTTGGCTTTGGCGTCCTTCTGAGCCGCCAGGTAAGCCTTGGCTTCCTTCTCCCGCTTCCGCACTTCTTCCAGTTTCCATTCTTCGTGTTCTTCGCGGGCGGCGGAGGCTGTGCGGACGACAGATGTGCCGGGGCGGGAGCGGGAGCGGCTCCTCCTGTCACGATCACGGTCTCGGGGCTTGTCCCGGTCCGCGTCTCTATCGCGGTCCCTGTCCCTGTCACGAGCTCGCTCCCCGCTGCGCCGTCGCGGAGAGCGGGCTGACGCTCGAGGATCATAGTGGTCGTATCGATCTGCTACGCCGCGGCGGCTGTCCCTTGATCGACTCCGCTCGCGTCTTCGAGACCGACTCCTGCGTCTTTCTGTCCGGGCCGGCGTGCGGGATCGGTCTCGCTCACGGCTTCGGTCCCTACGGTCTGTCCTTGTGCGGGACCGACTCCGTTCACGCCGTTCAGATCGTGCGGGGGATCTGGTGCGTTCTCTTCGTCGCGACCGACTCCTACGCCGGTCGTCACGATCCCGTGAACGACTTCGCTCACGGCGCTCGTCTCTCCTCGGCCGAGACCGGGTCCTATCCCGTCGCAGTTTTGATCGACTTCTGTCGCGCCTGTCCCGGTCACGAGATCGGCTTCTTTCTCGCCTGGGGGATTGGGAACGTCTGTCCCGTCGGCGACTATCCTCACGTTGACGACTCTTCTCCCTGTGCTTCTCACGATCCCTGTCACCAGCCCGAGACGCGCTACGGCTTGATCTCTTTTCGTCGCGTGAACCGGACAATTTTGAATCTGCAGCTGTTCGGGAGTCTCGTCTCTCGCTTCTAGAGCCATTTTCACTGGCCTTGCGAGAGTCGCGCTTTATGGGATTAATTGCGGATGCAGGAGCGCTCTTTCGAGGGGGTGGTGCTAGTGCGGCATCAACTTCAAGCTCAGGCTTTGCTTGGTCAGATCGGGAGCTTTCCCGTAAAAGGTCTGCCAGCGCCTCCTGTTCCAGCCTTTCGTTGTCTTCCTTGGACATCTTTTGATCTGATGCTGTTTCTTTGGTCTTGGACCTATCACGCCGGCGATCCCTCGACCGATCTCGCCCTCTGTCCTTGTCCTTGTCCTTATCCTGATCCCTGGAACGGTCTCTGGAACGATCTCTGGATCGGTCTCTGGATCGGTCTCGGGAACGGTTTCGGGATCGGTGCCTGGATCGATCCCTAGAGCGCTCGCGATCTCGTTGCTCCCTCTCCTTGTCACGAGCCTCACGCTCCTTGTGCCTCTTTTCTCGCTCCAAATCCCGAAGCCGTTCTCTCTCAGCTCGTTCCTCTTCTCGCTTTCTGCGGCGCTCGTCCCTTTCTGCCTGGCGCTTCAGTTCAGCTTGTGCCCGTTCGCGCTCCTCCTTTTTCTGTTCCTCCTGCTTAATGCGACGCTTCTCTTCTTCGATGGCGGCCTCTTTGAGGCGTAATTCTTCACGAACTCGTTCACGTTCCGCCTGCCGTGCCTCTGTATCTGCAGCGTACTCTTCGTCGGTTTTTGCGCCACGGATGCGCTCTGACTCGGCGGCCTCTTCGCCAATCTCAGCTCGTCGAATCTCGCGAATGCGCTCCTCGATAGCGTCGACGTCGATTAGTTTAGCAATGACACCTTCAGCTTTTTGGTAGACACCAGATCGTTCCAGAGCACCATCGATTAGGGCGCTCGCCTTTCGTGGATCGAGGGTGAGGAGTTGCTGCGGGTTGCGGTCGACCTCCTTTTCCGCTACCTCGAGGATCGCCTGTTTGACTATGGTCTCGCAATCCTGTAAATTATGTGAGCATGTCTTCCAGTACCCTAGGCTCGTAGTAGGTCATACACTGGCTCCGAATTTATCCCAGACTTGCTTTCGGATGGAGTCGTAGGCACCGCCCTTTTTAAAACTGTGTTTCAAGGACTCTATGGCAGCTCGCGTTGCCGAAGACAGCGGAAGATCAGATGCTTTGAATTTTCGTGGCGCTGAATGACTTGCAACAACATCCCCAGTTTTGCTAGGCTTCTCAGCAGAGGTTGCCATAATTTTTGTTCGGTCGCGGAGATCAGAGTCTATATACGCGAATATGCATTTCGCTCACAGATTTTGATCAGCGCTTTTTTCTGTGCATCTGCAACCAAGCAGACACGCAGCTGCTGCCCTGTTGAAATTGCCGTGCAGCCAGATGGGCTGATTAGCTCACGTTGGTTCGCGATTAGTATCTAGACTAAAGACAGAACGCCAGTCCACGTGACGGACGAGTCAAAGAGCGACGTGGCCCAGCATCTGAGGATCTATCTACCCGGGAACAACTCCCAAATTTAACAAGGACCAAAATCAACACAAAAACACCCCATTATTTTCCTGAAGGTTGCAAATTAGAAAATATAGCATTTTCTTGGCTATTTCGCGGCTTCTTTATTCTTTGTAGGAAATTTCCTAAACCAAGTGTTTTACACTACTGCTCGAGTACAATACTACCTATCCTCGTTATGTAGGTCGAACAAGGCACACAGATCCATAAGTGGCAATCACTTGAAGCAGCGTCACGACCCTCACACACAGACACAAAGGTATTCAATGTCGAGTGGTGGGTTACAAGCCCCTCGTGTATAAGCCACTTGACAATCTTTGAAGAAATCATAGCACTCTTTCTCTCAAGGGCTGCCTGGCTATTAACAAGTATATCGATGCGAAGCTAGTGTGGCTATGTTCACACGCGCCCAGTGAAAACCCACATGGAGCTCGACTCAACGAACCGAAACTAGGTAGGTACTACGTAGTTATGTACTCGAGGGACAGCAATGCTATTACACGAAGTGATTATATTCTCACTACGGAGTACTAAGTGGTTCGGGATTGTAAGCCAAGCCAGCACAACACCACTTCCCCTGACTCTCACAAACCACCAAAAGGATGCGCACCCCTTGTCATTTGTACAATGCCAAGGTCTGCCGGTCCGAATTCTCGTATCACTAATTTGCCCATATAGCAGGCATTGCTTTCCGACAAGGCAAGGCTCACAATTCTACTGAGTCAGCCAGTCGAGCGAGTATTGGTAATACATATTATTGCTTTTGTACATTGAACTAAATAGATGTGGATATCATAGAGGCCCGTCAAAAAGTCGTAGAGGAGATGTACCGCCCGCAACACGCAACGCGCAACGCCATGCTTGAAAATGCTGCGCTTCTAGGCGCATACAGATAATACACTGGAAAGTCTAGAATTCGCCCTCGCCGCCGTTGCCCACCACGTTTGCTGTCCAGAGACCAACAAGTCCCCACCAGTTCACTTTCCAGCCTCGCCAGAGACCTTCCAGGCCTTGTCCCTTGATGTGGGTAGGTTGGAAAGACTTGGTCTTGGCTTTGCCCTTCTTAGCGGCAGGGTTGGATATGGCTGGGTTCTCGCGAGTGCCTTCTTCTGAAGCGATGTGGTACATAGTGCCAATGGTGCCGTTGTATCGGCCAATAGGCACGATGGTGTCGAGCTTCTGTTCTGTTCCTCCAAGAGCTTTGATATAATCTGGGCTACAGAGAACGGCCATCTGGCCGCGCCGCAGTGTGGTTTCAATAGGCAATTTGATAAGAATAGCAGCTGAAGAAGCAAAGAACTTGGCCACAGAGAATGTCATTGGTGATACTTGACTGTCAATCAGGAAGCGAGTTCGGAGCACCAGTGGCGTCGAGAGTGTCAGGAGGGGGTGTATAAGAGAGTTCAGAACAGTCGGGATTGCGATTGCCGACGGGCAAAGGTAGGAAGGGAGAGCCCGAAGGGTAGCAAGTGTTCGGCGCTGTCCTTTGGAAATTGGGGTCATGATGAGTCTGTCATGGTAAGCGCCGTTTTCGCATATAAGAACTCGTGGAAGACCAACCTTGTGCGCACAATATCCAGGGGAGACAAGAGTACACCAGTCGCAACTGCAGCAGTAGCAGCTACAAACAGCGAGGCCCAAGGGTATGGTGACGCAATGTCAATCAACCGATCAATGTCGTCCTTAACACCCAGATCGGGAACGTTGAAAATGGCGCTGAGAAAGCTTCTCGACCAGTTTTCAAGCAAAGATTGAAGCACAGTATACAGAAAAGTGGCATTTGAGCCCTTCCAAACACCCCACGCGCCATCCTTTTGCCAGAGTTGCCCGATGACGTCAAGAATCGAGTCTGGTCTGCGAATAGTAATGTAATGCTCCGGAATGATGGGCCGTTTGGGGGCCTGTGACTGCAGCGGTGATGTTACACGACGATTGCCTGAGCTTCTGTTATATGACGGGGTGGGCGTGACGGGCGTATTAGAGGTGAAGAACGCGGCCTCATCGCCTTCGGAGTCGGAATCATTATACTGTGCAGGTCAGCCATGCATTCGAGAGACAGTGGGCGGGAATTCATTCTCACGTCGTATATTGAGCCTGCCTGGCTAGAGCCTTGCCTCTTCAAGCCCCCTGGCTCTGTAGTTGCCCAGACAGCATTCTCATCCTGATCACGAGCTTGCAAAATAGTCTTTGCCACCTCGAAAGGCTGGGCCATCAACACGGACGTGTACTTCCATATCAGCTCTTCTACCAGCTCCTTGGCATTCTGTATCACCGACGGCGACGAGTCGTTCAAATAGTCCTTGTAATCGATATCGGCAAGCACATCGCGCGCCTTAGATGCGTAGCGGGCAGTCCCCGTCACATTGCCCACAGCGAAGGGGTTTGCGCTGGATGCCGACGCGGGATCCGTCGTCTCGCCTATGACAGGCGCCCTGTAGTAGGGCCGTAGCGGATTCACGCCGTCTCTCTGCGTGGTCATGGTTGGTGTTGACGGAGAAAAATCATTTGGAATGCGGCCGTTGAAAAGATGGCGGATGTCCCGTGGCGTTGGAAGCTTGCTGTAGCTGCAAGTGCAACGCAGAATGAAATCATCATCTGAGAGCTCGGAGATAATGGGCACCGCGGCGGCAGACGGCAAATGGATTTCCCGGGTGCAGTCGGCGCTGGATGGACCGGCGACTTCCCTGTCCAAGGGCCATAGCGCTTCGACGACGCGCCACTTATCGGAGCTGCATTTGCAAGCCGTTTTTCCTTGCTCGGAATTGCGAGCGCTTTTGATTTAGATCCTGCGTGGTCATCCTCCGACGACATCCGTATTTCGTGTCGACCTGCACCATGCACTGAGGTTCAATTGGGGCTACGAGAGTCGATTTTATAGTGCACTGGCTTTTTGTGATCCAACAAGCGACGACGGACGATACCTTGAGCAACTTGGACGCATCTCCGGGGCCCATCACCAGTCACATCGCCAAGAAAAAAATGTCATCGGCTTCAAGGACGCTCGCATCTCGTCTTGTGACAGTGCCTGCCGCGGCCTGTCGACGAGTGCAAAAAGGCCGCGCGATTCGAATGGAATCCTTCACATCAAAATTCCCAACACGGAGTCGGAGTGCGCCTCGAGTAATCCCTTTGTCCGTGCCCGCGCATCGATCATTCTCAACCACCACACCAACCCGCCACGGCCATATTGACCCCCCGAAGCCTGGTGAAGAGTGAGTGCAGCCATACACACAAGCAATAATAATGTCAAAAAAATAAAATAAACAAGCCACTGATTATCCCAGACTTTACGTCACCTTTGTTGAAAAGGATGGTGAGGAACACAAGTTCGCAGTCTCCGAAGGCGACAACCTTCTAGATATCGCTCAAGCCAACGATCTCGAAATGGAGGGTGCATGTGGCGGCTCATGCGCCTGCTCGACGTGCCACGTCATTGTCACCAACGAGGAGTTTTTCGATAAGATGCCCGAGCCAGAGGATGACGAAAACGACATGCTGGATCTGGCATTCGGCCTGACCGAGACGAGCCGACTGGGCTGTCAAGTGAAGATGACAAAGGAGCTGGACGGATTAGTTGTCAAGCTGCCGTCGATGACGCGGAATCTACAGGCCAGCGATTTCCAATGAGACGATGACAATGTAACAGTAGCTGCTGGGCATACCCCTTATAAAACACCTTGTACAATATGTGTGGATAGAAGGACGGATTTCCCACCGTCCAGAGTCGAAGAACGCGGGGAACATATCGGAGGGTATCTTTGACTGCATTTTCAGGCGATAAAAAAGTACTATATATACCTGCTTAACTCCTCTTACCAAACAAGAATCACGATCCAGCGCCTGTGTGCGTTTTTAGGTTCGTCTGAACCCACGAGGTAACCTATACGCTTAAGCCTCCTCCAAAGCGCCCTTTTTCAAACCTCCGCCCCCAGAGCTAATAAGATCCAAAAACCCCTTTTTACTCATCTCGTTCACCTTTTCCTCGCGGTTATTAATACCTATGACGCCCTGCTTCCTCGCGTCCTTCTCCGCCTCTGCGGCCTGGACTTGCGCAGCTCTTACGGCGTTAAACAGCTTAACCACACCTCTTTGCGCAACCTTGCGCAGCTTCCGTTCCGTGTCTAGAATCTCCGCTGTTGACGATTCAACTTCGCCGGTGGTGTCATCCCGACTGGCTTCAAGGACATCCTTGACGCGGCCCTTTTCTAGAGCCTTCTTCTTTTGGTCACGCAGGTGTCGCTTTGCCCTGGCTTCTAAGGTGCTGTCAACGGCTGCTTTGGAGGCTTCATGTGCGGCCGCGCTTCTCGAGAGGACGGGGTCGGAACGTTTTGACGATGACAATTTTGTGGAAAGAATTTTGGAGATGGATGTGGCGAAGGCGCTGGGATCATTGCGCTTTGATTTGCGGCGGCTTGTGGCATTGTCCGAGTCAAGGTCATATTCATCAACGTCTGATTCTTCGTCGTCGTCGTCTTCATTTTCCCCCTCGGCAGACTCGGCGTCATCTTTGTGCGCCGTCTTGGCGGGTTTTGAAGACTTTTTGGCTTTCTTCACTCTGGATTGCTCGTCTTCAGAACTTGATGAGTCGGCGTCATCTGACTCAGCCGCATCGTCGACAGTTGCGTTGTGTATATCGTCATCTGAGTCGAGCAAGTTCACTGCATCAAAATCCTGGTCTTCGTCGCCGTCGCTGCCCGATCCACTGTCATATTGTTGTGTTTGTTGGCGTTTTTGTTTCTTAGATGGACGCTGGTTCTTGGCGTCAAATGCGCGTTTCTTTGGACCTCCCATTGTATAATCGTGTATTGAATTGCGTGTGTCGGACCGGCGAGAACAGTGCTGCAGGTGAAGGAAGCTCAAGAAAAAGCTGGGATTCTGCCGGGTAATTTTTCTGGGTGGGAGGGGCTCTGGGCAGGCGGTGTGGAGAGGGCCGGTTCACGTGGGGCAGACAGTCGTTCGCTAGACGAAAGCCAAGCTTAGCGGCTTTGAACGACTCTGGAAATGTTGCACGCATACATGTAACTTCGTTACATACCTACCTATGAGGTAGTTGTGGGCGACCATGACTTGAAAGGTCCCTTTGGGACTCATGGCGGGTATGGGATGCACACCATAATTAATTCTTGCAAATAAGAATAGGGCAACGGGCGAACAAAGGCATGCGATATTGAACTATACGAACTGTAGTAACAATTTGACTGAGCATTACTCTCGGTTACCAACTCCACCAAATCGCGAAGTCCGAACCTCAAATGGCTACAAGCCGTTGTACATGTCTTTCGGCACTCGTTACAATGGCACAATGCTATATGCTAACCTGACTGTAGGGAGTCTCAAAATGAATGAACGCATCAGGGCAAATTACACGTCAAGCAGCCTGGAAATTGGCCAATCTATTTAGCTAACAAGCGGTCAGCCGAGGGTATCAAGCAGCAATATAAATTACACCATCTCTGATAACGCTCCGTAACCAACGCCAGAAAAGTGGAATTCGACCGAGCCATTAAACGAACTTGAACCGGTCCCAGAACGAACCGCTCGTCTTTGCAGCTTCTTCAACTATGGGCGCGGAGAGCTGAGTGGTCCACCGCTCCTCACCATCAATATATAAAGTATATTGCAATATGCTCTGGCCATCAATGTTTTCAATTGTAAAGGAGCCAAATTTGGAACTTCCGGAAGGGATATAGCTATCCTCCATTAGCACGATGCGCACCAAGTAGAATCAGAGAACTTACTGTAACTTGACATCCTCGCTGTCAACTTGCTTATATGTTGGGAATGGTGACGCAAATTGATTCAAAGGACTCGTAGAGAATTCGTGCGCCGCAGCCGATTCAGGCCAATTCGACTCGGGAGGCGGTGGGAATTTGGTCGCGGCAAATTCATGGCGGTCTCCAGAAAGAATTACAACAGGTGTGCCACGAGCCCCAGCCTCCCACATGGCTTCGAGTATCTTCCGTCGTTCAAACAAAAAGCCACCCCAAGTATCCTTGACATTTACTGGCCAGTTCTTGGTAAACGGGACGGACGAAGCCACAAACTTCCACTTGACTCCCTTAGGTTCGGGGCGGCCCAACCAGGCCAAAAAATCAGCCAACTGATCTTGGCCGAGCATGGTCTTACTCTCTTCTTCAAAAGGAGCGTTATTGCTGGAGCGGTAACTTCTGGTGTCTAACATGAAGAAACTGACGGGTCCTTGGACGAACTCGTACCAAGTAGCATCCTGACGGGGCGTGCTTCTGGTACCGGCCTGAACAGCTTTTGGAGGGTTAACGTTGGCCTGGTAGGTGTGCCACGGGCCAACGGCAGCACTGTAAATTCCGGTAGTGTTGGAGGACCAGTCGTTGGAAATTTCGTGGTCATCAAGTACATGAATCCAGCTCAAGTTTTGCGCGACAGGAGCCCAGTCGGGAGATGCGTAGACTTGTCGGTATTGCATACGATATTCCTCGGATGACTTGCCGAAGCGTTCCGGAACGTCCACATAAATGAAATCACCTAAAAAGAGCATGAACTGGGCACCCAAGTCGGGAAGCTTCCTGGCTAGATGTCGGAGTCCAGGAATAGCCAATGCATGGTCCATTGGGTTGTAAGGGAAACGGGGAAGAATGCAGGAAGTTGAGAGAAATGTGAACTTCCCATCATTGACCGTCGGCATGCTTCCGGGCTTGGGAGGGCTGAGAAATTCGCCGGAATGGTTGTTTGATGTTCTCCACTCATACCATCGTTGCTCAGAGTACCTCAAAGAGACAGTAAGAGCCTGTGTGAAGTCGGTTTCATTGGTTGTCTGTTGTATGTCGGCGGCATTAGACCAGGCTGGCGCATCGACAGACGCTTCGGACGTCTTGGCTCGTATTTGCAAGGTAACGGGCAGCTTGGCTTGGTCTGGCTCGCGGACGAGAAAGTTCGCTTCACTGGGTGAAACGTATCCCAGACGAACGAACGAGAGGTCTTCAGAGGAGTAATACCAACGGGCGCGGAATAGTGCGTCGGCAGTCAATAGCGCAAGAACAACGTTGATGAGAAGTGTGATAATAGACCATTTTGGTTGAGTAGCACTGGGGTATCCGTAAAGCAGCACCTTCCAGGGCCGTTCGGTTTTCTCGCCGAGTATGATTGTCTCTTCAACGTCGACTTCCTGGGCAACTACCTCGGGCTCCGGTGGCTGGCCAGTTTCGGAGAGCAAGGGGGTCTCTGATGTAAGCGTTGTCTGCTTCACAGTAACGTCGACTTCATCATCAACAATTTCAAGAGCCGGTCCAGCTCTATAGCTGGCGAAATAAGCAGGAATGTAGATTGCAAAAAGCGCAAAGGTAATGGAGGGAAAGTGGGCCTAGGAGCTGTCAGCGTTGTCACAAACGGGCTTCAAGCATCACTTCATACTGGAAACTATTTAATCTTGTTAGTCATGTGTCGATGATGAATTTATGATGAGACGCACAAATCTGAAGAATAATATTGCGGATATTCTCAAGGCGACCGAAGTCACCTTGGCAATGGTCGTCTGAACAGGCATGATGTTGTTTAGGAGAAAGTGGGATGGAGTGATGCCGAGGTAAGTGGTCGGATGATTAAACAAAGTTTAGGTGAAGCTCATGGCTATTTGCCTATTAATGAGAGAATGTAGAGAAGCCAATGTTACGATGTGACGGAACACATCACAGCATTGCGCAAAGAAATTGAGAAGAGTGGCAAGGAGGAACTGACGGACTAATGATGCTAGTCCAAGGTTCTGCGGCGCTGCGGAAGAGCTTCATTAAAAGCTCCTGATTCGACGTCATCTAATTGGCAGACGCGCGGTGATTTGAGGCGCGCGGGGGCGAATTCAAGCGTCTACGGGTCGAGGTCGACTGGCAAGTGGGTCCAGATGCCCAGGCCTGGAGGTGGGAGCTCTGGCACCTTCAGGGGTCGGTCCTTGTGAAAATCCGCGCCCGAAGCGACATCGTGGCCCCTTTGCTCTACATGGTGCATTTCAACACCACAGCAGCGCTAGGGACGTGCCACAATTTGCAAGACAAACCCTCGCCTCCTTCTTGCGATTCGAGTTGCTCTCTCGGTTGGACGCCACAATCACGAATCCGACGCCATCATGAGATTGTCGACAATAGGAGCAGGCCTTATTGCCTGCCTGGCGACCAATGTTGCCGCCACGGCTCTGACCTACAAGCTCGACGCCAACGAAAAGGCATGCTTCTATACGGAGACCAAAAAGGATAACGAAAAAATTGCATTCTACTTTGCGGTATGACTCCTGTTACACCTGGCGTGCGACGCTGGTACAAGAGTATGCGCTTACTGGATACCATGCAGGTCCAATCTGGCGGCTCTTTCGATGTCGACTACATTGTCGAGGGTCCCAATGCCAAGATGATCTTGCAAGGCGAAAAGGAGCGACAGGGCGATTTCGTCTTTACCGCTCAGCACGCTGGCGAATACTCATTCTGCTTCAATAACGAGATGAGCACCTTTGCAGAGAAATATGTCGATTTCGAGATTTCGGTGCGAACCCATGTGATCGATCCCAAGCGCTATCCACTGTAGACTAACACAACACAACACAGGTTGAAAATGAAGCCCGAACTGCTCAGCTGCCTTCCAAGCAAGGCACATCCCCCGAACAGACCTCTGTCCTCGAGGACTCTATTTTCAAGATATCCAGCCAGCTGTCCACCATTTCACGAAACCAAAAATACTTCCGCACTCGTGAGAACCGCAACTTTTCTACTGTCAACAGTACCGAGAAGCGAATTGTCAACTTTAGCGTCATTCAAATTGGCCTAATTATTTGCATGGGCGCTTTGCAGGTGTTCGTTGTCAGATTCTTCTTCCAGGGCGCGCGCAAGGGCTACGTTTAAAGTTTCATTTTATTTATCTTGGTTAGCATGTAACGAGGGCACACGTGGGAAAAAGGCAAAAGGGAACGGGTGACCGACGTTGGTACGATATGTATAATAATGAGCATAGAACCTGGCGGTCATTGTGAAAACCAACGGAGTAGAGGTGGTCAATCATTTAAATTGACCGAATTACAGCGGCATTGCATGGCTAGTACATTTGTCGACCTTTGGTTCACATGTATTGTAACTGCATATTCCTCATTCCATAATACCATACCGTCCCAGCTAACAAGCCTTGACCCTTTGTGGTTGGGGCTCGTAGAGGCAAAAGAGTAATAAGTTGTGGGTGACTTCGTTCGCCGGACGGACGGACTTCGGCCCAGACTATTATATAATTGAATTTCATTAAGAAAATATTATTAAAAAGAGAATATAATATATAAATAGTGTTTCAAAAACAATAACAACTAAAACTATAGTTTCAATTATCACTTCCTACTCATGCCGGTAGACAGAGAAAACCCAAAGTGGAGGACGATTTGGTAGGGAGGCAAACAAAACAAGACTGGAACAACATTATTGCGACGCCGCTATGTGCACTACAAACCGACAAAACACCACACCTCACCACACGGTCCACGGCGCAACAACCCAACCCAACCCACACATCGCATATGACAACGCAAAAATGGACGCCCTTGTTAAATACAAATCCAAATCTGACGCGATCGCTCGGCGAGGTCACAGCCATGATCGAATTATGCACACGTCGTTCAAGGACCTAATACCTCTACGACAGCGTGTTGATGCTGAGAAGATTGATCTGTCTCGCCCTGACAAAGAGTCTGTTGCAGCCACGACCGAGAGGACCAAGAATGCGCTCGCAGCCCTCATCAGTGGCGCTGTTGCGGCGCAGAGACCCAAGAACGTAAATGTTGGAAACAGAAACGATCCGACCTTTGTACGATATACACCTGCCAGTCAGATGGGGGACGACTCGCAGAAGGAAACCCGAATAATGAAGATTGTCGAGCGCCAACGAGACCCGATGGAACCTCCCAAGTTCAAACATAAAAAGATTCCTCGTGGACCACCGTCACCACCCCCGCCCGTCATGCATTCACCACCTCGAAAACTCACAGCTCAAGACCAGGAAATGTGGAGGATTCCCCCCGCAATCTCCAACTGGAAGAACCCAAAGGGTTTCACAGTGCCCCTAGATAAGCGTCTGGCTGCGGATGGCCGTGGCTTGCAGGACATTAGCATCAATGACAAACATGCTCAATTTGCAGAGGCAGTAAAGATGGCTGAAAGGCATGCACGAGAAGAGGTTCAACAGCGTGCGCTGATGCAACAGAGGCTGGCGGAAAAGGAGAAGGCACAAAAGGACGAAAATCTGCGGGCACTGGCCCAAAAGGCTCGAGAGGAGCGGGCGGGCGGTGGGCGCGGGAGCGGGCGTTCACCCGATTCGAGAGACTCCAGGTCACGATCGGGAAGTTACAGCGGATCTGACTCGGCATCCGACAGCGAAGATTCCGAGATACGGGAACGAGAGAAGGCTCGAAGAGAGAAGAGAAAGGAAGAAGAGAGAAAGCTGCGACAGAACCGCATGGGTGCTGAACGGCGTATTCAGGTCATGGCAAGGGAACAAAACCGAGACATTTCAGAAAAGATTGCTCTGGGGTTGGCCAAGCCGACACAGTCCAAGGAGACAATGTACGACTCACGGCTATTTAATCAATCGAGCGGTTTCGACAGCGGATTCAACGAGGATAATCACTACGACAAGCCACTGTTTGCAGCCCAGGATGCAATCAGCAGCATCTACCGACCGCGGGCAAACATGGATGACGACGATCCTGAAGCTGGCGATAAGGAGATGGCCAAGATTCAAAAGACGAGTCGGTTTGGAGAGGCACTCGGCAAAGGCACCTTTAAGGGAGCGGCTGATGTAGAGGTAGGCAGGCTTTCGCCATCAAGCTGGAGGTTTCGTGGTGGCACCAGGCTAACAAATACGCAGGCCCGTGAAGGACCAGTGCAATTCGAAAAAGAAATTGCCGACCCATTCAACGTGGACAAATTTCTGTCCGAGGTTGACCAGAATTCGTCGGCAAAGAGGGGATACGGGTTAAATGACGAAGACCGGCAACCAAAGCGGCCGAGGGTAGAGGACGAGGATGATTAAGCGTCTTGTTGCGTTGGCGTTGACGGCGTTGACGGCGTTGTGGATGTATTGTACATTGTGGAATTGCATACTGGCCAGGGGCTCCAAGCGGGAATCAAAAAGCGGTGCGAGGTTCCAAAAAGATATCAATAATAAATTGTTTGCTCGCGCAATAATGCGCTCTACTTCGATGCTGTTTTCGTACTTGTAAGCGATACGCATGCATGCTGTGAAGTTGCATCAATTGATGTGTCCTAAGTGATGGTGGTGGGGCGACGGTAATCCCTAAAAGTCCTTGTTTGGACCCTGACTGTCACTTTTGTTTCCGCTCCCCACTTGCCGCCGCCTCTTGGGTTCCTGTCAAAGTTCATGGCCTGATCATCTGATTGATGGCATTTTGTGCAAAATTACAAACCTCAGACCTCGGCTCAACTCCAACTTCTCTCGGCTCAACCATCTCATAATACAACCGGGACTCCATTACTTCCCACACCCTTGGCCCTTCTCATCACCCTCGTCCAGGCGCCATCAGCCAGCATGGCATCGGGGGCATTCTTCAACCCGCAAAAGGCGCTCCTCCTCGCCCCCTTCGTCTCATCTACATGCTCCCTCCTCTTCGCCTGGGACCAGAATGCCTTCCTGAGCATCTTCACCAGCCCAGAAGTCAGCGACCGCATCAACCCCATCCTCCCTAGCTACTGGCGCGTCTTCTTCCCCAGGGGCCTCACACAGGTCGTTTCCCTCCTGGGCGTAACGACGTGGACTTCCGTCGGGGCCGTCGTCTACTACAGGACGCTGCTGCAGAAGAAGGGCGCGTGGGCCTGGTATGCGGCCACGGCGGCGCTGGCCGTCGGCCACTTGGTGTATGCGCCGTTTGTGGCGCCGGCCATCAAGTATATACTCGACGATGAGGGAGGCAGGTCCAAGGAGAGAAAGCTCGCGGAGCCGGGGAACCGGAATGTGGATATGCAGAAACAGTGGCTGTGGTATAACATGGTGAGACTTTTGACGACGGATTTGGGCGCCTGGGTTTGCTGTGCTGTGGGTGTCATGAAGACGTTTGATGTGGTTGAGTAGGATCTTGCTGCGGGCATGGACGGCTTGTAAGATATTTGTAAATGTAATTTTATGGAACCCCGAGCTTGGTGTTTTACTTGTTGTGGAAATTGGCTCTGCTCTTCGCTTTTAGGGTCCCGCCGTTTTCTTGATGCGCCTTGCGAGAAATTCCATGTCTCCTTGGGTGGGCTTCACGGTTGAGGTGTTGGTATATCTGCCATGGCCACAACTAGATTTTGCATGAACACACGGAATTATGCATGTAATCGATTGCGGTGCTATACACGTATACATGGATATACGATGGTCTTTGTTTCTGTCTGGAATCATGTACATAATGCGCGGCTGCTTGTACCCTCGCCTTTTTTACAGACCTGCCCTGACGGGTTAAAGCACCGGGCTATTATGCTAAATTCTGACACGAATGATGACAGTACTACCAACCACGGGAGCTATCTGCACTCCGCTTTGCCCAGGGACGCGATTGATGGATTTTACAGACAACCTGCTGACTTGCAGCTGATTCACGCTTCAACGTTCCACGGGCCCTTCCTGCTGTCGCAAGGAGCCGAAAGACGGTAGGTCCAGGACAACGGTTCCAGCTGAATATACATAAAGAGTTTCCTTTCGGACGACGGAACAATTAGCACTACTACTGAAATACTGAAGTATTCCTTTTGAATCTAGTCCTAAACATCAACCAGAACTATGAAGGTACGTAGACAAAGAGACGACCATCTTTCACGCGCCAATAAAATATCACACAGTTCAAAACTCTTGCATTCTGCGTCTTCTACGGAGCCGCAACAGCAAGCTCGGTCGGTTTTGAAGAGTGGCTGCAGCCAGGTTGTCCCGGGCGAGTATTCCTAACTGCCACGGCGACAAGCGGCTACTGCGTCAACTTGGGGGATTACCCCGGGAAAAGCATCAGGTTGAGCGAAAAGATTGCCTGCTCACAGGGTCAGGCTGGTTGGATTGAGGTTTCAAGCAAGGAATGCGCTGCTTTCCAAGTTGACGGGGAGTATCTTGCGGATGGGCACTGTCAGGACGTTGGGTTTGAACCTCTGGCTATTCGAACGTCTTGTCGTTAAAAAGGGATATATGTAGTTGACCTTTTCAACATGTTGGGGTTTTTCTGATGAATCCAGCAGATGATCTCGTGCAATTCCGCTTTTATATAGTGCGCAAACGTGGTTATGTTAAATAGTCTAAACCAGGTTCCGTCGTGAGTCGAAAAGCGCACGTCGACACTTACAAGTTGGACAGTCGGACATTCGGGGGTCTGCCGAGGTCCCTATGGTACTATCAGATTTATGATATGACGATTTCTCTGGTTAGTATAATGTGTTTATTTGAGCTTTTTAGTTTGTCCGAATTGTGCTGCGTTACTTTGCATATGATGTACGTGATAAACCCAAGTACAACCTCGGCGCTCATCTCCATAGAAAACCCTGTGTATCACGCAACTGCATATAGTAATACTCATGGCAACAGGAAAGGGCCCAAAAAATAAAATAAAATAAAATAAAATAATCTTTCACTCAGCACAACGCCTCAGTGACCGAGTCAGCGGTCCAGTTATTGGTTTGTCGAGATTGAGGAGCTTGTCAATAGCTTCGATTTTGGAATCGTGGCGGGCTTCTTACGGCCAAGGTCAAAATTAAGTAGACGTCTTGTCTTGACCTCACCAGACGACGTACGGCGCTTCCAGTAACACGAAAGCTGTCCTTATAAAGCGCCCTGGGATAATTTTCAGATGGTTGTTAGCATCTCGGGCCAGAGCAGTAACAAACTAATCACCGAACTGCAAACCCTAAGGGTTAGGGTTAAACACATCGTCGAGTACTGCTCTTTGCTTGCCCCATTTGGAATTCAGCGAGCAATCAGGTTGCAATCTCATATCCATCACGTCGAAATCGTTGAGTCTAGGGCATTAGGCCTCTTCCATAGCTGATGGGGTGGATGGCCATGTATGCTGTATCTGTTGAATCCTCAAGTCCCTGTAGCAGACAACTTGATTAGACGATACGGCCACTAGGCGAAGAGCAAGAATGGTCCTGTCAAATTCGTGTTTGGCAAACGCAAAATCGCCCACAAGAATTAAACGCTTGGTGTAGACTAACTGTGAAGTTGTACCCTTTGGCGGTGTGTCGAGGTGCCTTGGTAGTGAAAGCGCAAACAAAAGCCCGGATTTGCATTGACACATCAATGATGGCAACTGGTCCTATCATGGTAGATTAGACTGGCCAGCTGGCAGCTTGGCAGTTTAAGAACCGGCACTCGCAACTCCAACACTTCAATGTTTGCATCGGCTCCAGCTCATGTTCCGTGTCTTGCCTCTAGAATCTCGCCCCTCCTCTCAACTAATCCCAAAGCGTTTGCGAAGCCAATCCCAGCCATAACGCCAGTGAATGAGAGGCCATGGCAATGGCAAGATGAGATTGTGCACTTGCTAGTCCGAAGCGAGGCTGCAGCAGAGACGACAGGCGGTGATTCTTCATCATATCCCCTGGTTGATAGAAGCCCGTGTTAACCAGCCCATAGTTACCTACCCGCAGGCAGACGGCCATAGATTTCATAGACGATCCATTTAACGGGAGGGTAAAGGAAGTCGCCAACTTGCATCCACCAACGATAACAGGCTGTCCACAAAGATGGCTGTGATGGAACCGACGGACGACAGAACCAAGGGAAGGGGGATCAACACATTGATGTGCATTCACAAACAGAAATACGAGACCAAGGCCACAAGCCATTCTCGATTCCCCCTGGCCAATTGCACCCGTTCCCCCTCCCGCTCACCGTCAACGGTCCGACACAAACGCCACCAACAGCTCGATCCCACATGGTTTCGATCCGCCGACGCATCCGCTCCCAAGGGCACAACTGACAGATGAACCAAGAGCGCTTCTAATCATCAGGGGGGCCCCGGTGGTCCCAATGAGGCGCAGGGCTCGAAATGGTGTGCCGCCATCCCGTGTTCTGCCCTTTCTCAGTCTTTTTTTGTTCCCTCGCTCCACCAACAATCGTGCTAATCCGGACATTCACACATGTTGTTGGTGAAAGAGTGGAAACATACCGTGTGTGCAAATGCAGGGTGACAAGATTGACGTGCCTTTTGGCCCGGGCTATGCGACGCGCGTTCCGTCCGGTACTTGGGCACTGGCAATGTCTGAAGATCAATCCCTTTTCTTGAAAGCCGCGCGCGAATCTTGTCCAAACTTGCGCCGTTAGAGATGGTCTATCTGCCGTCGCACCTACACTGTGTCTGGAACCGGATTGTCTGTTTCGGGGCAAAGCATTCGGTTGTAATAATACCAGATGTACTACGTATGAGCCCATGTTCTGAGGTGGCCGTAAATATGTGCTTGTCCCCAACACATGCTTGCATCCCATGATCCGCTTCCGGCCACTTCCTTGTTCGAACACGACGGCAAGACTTCTCGTCGACACGGCACGTCCAATTCGCCAGCAGAGATTTCTCTCTGTGACTCACCCTTTTTAATTGCCGACCATTTTTGATTGGAAAAAGAGAAGAAGAGGGAAAATAAGTTGGCCTTGCTGTTACTGCGCCACTTCCCATCTGTGTCACGCACTTACACCCCGTCTTGTGCCTGGGCCGCAACGAAAAAGAGCACTTGAGACTCAACGCCGGGTTCCAAAACGATTGCAGCCTGAAGCCAAAGCAATTCGACCCGGCCATGCATTCTGCAAAATACCACGAGAGGGTGACGTCTGGGGAAATCGCCCCACAGTACGAAGATATCCGCTACGCAAGGAACAAAGGTCTTGGCCAGCCCGTGGCGACAAGTCGGCCGTGGTGGAACCCGCGATACTGGACGCGAAAGATTTGGATAGCCGTCGTCGCCGTAGTGGTGATTGTCGTGGTCGTTATCATTGCCGTGGCCGTTACCGTGACCAAGAAGAATGCCTACCCGGACTATTCGCCGCTCACATATAATTTGCAAGATACCTGTGAGTACTATTTGCTGCCCTGGAGGTTGAAGTGGAGTGGGAGGTTGAGCCGACTGACGATTCTCAGATGGCGGCCAGAGCTTCTTTGACCAGTTTAATTACTTTACTGGCTATGACCCGGGTAAGTTTCTCTTCATCATACGGCTCATTTAGCCGGTGCTAAAACGCCCACAGCCCACGGTCTGGTACACTACGTCCCGCAAGCAGATGCCGTCAACCGTGTAAGTCACCCTCGACCCCCGACACCAACCATCACCAGCACCACTAACTACTCCCTAGAACCTCACCTACGCCACGCAGAACTCGGCCGTGCTCCGCGTCGACACCGCCGTAGGACCCGGCTCCAACCCCGACGCCTCAACCGGCCGCTTCTCCGTGCGCCTCGAGTCCAAGAAGACGTACAACGGCGGCCTCTTCATCTTCGACGTCAAGCACACCCCCTACGCCTGCGGCGCCTGGCCGGCCCTCTGGCTCACCGACCCGTCAAACTGGCCCGACCACGGCGAAATCGACATCATGGAGGCCATCAACCAGGGGGCCGCCGGAAACGCCATGACCCTTCACACCACCGGCGGCTGCTCCATGGGCGTGAAGCGCAAGCAGACGGGCGAGACGGACCAGGAAAACTGCGACCACGGCGCCAACAACAACGCCGGCTGTGCCGTCAAGGAGAGCCCTTCTACCTTTGGAACCAAGCTCAACGATGCCGGCGGCACCGTCATGGCCGTCGAATGGAGGAGCGCCGGCATTCGCATGTGGCAGTTTGCTAGGAGCGCTGTCCCGAGTGACATTACGGGCAAGAAGCCGAACCCTTCGACTTGGGGGACTGCCGCTGCGGATTTTCCAAGCACGGACTGCGACATCGGGTCTCATTTTAAGAATAATTCCATCATTGTGAACATTGACCTATGTGGAGATTTGGTCTATGGGAGCTGGGACAAATCTGGATGTCAGTGGTCACTCCTCCTTTTGTCACCTTTGAAAAATGGCGTAAAGCTAATGAATCGCATCTCTAGGCTCTGGTACCTGCAAGGAGGTCGTTGCCAATCAACCCGACTCATTCAAGACGGCGTTTTGGGAGTTTGGCTCGTTCGAAGTATACCAGTCGACGTGAGCCCGTTCTTCGATGCAACTTGTAAATGAGATGGGGGTGCGATAAAAGGACGGCGCTGTGCAGATCTGAGATTCATATATAGTGGTAATAAGTAATTAGCCGACGTGTTGTCCACGCCCAAATATGACTGTGATTGTGACTGCGCTCTATGGCTGCCCTGGCAGCGGGTATTATACAAGTGTATACAAAACCATCTAGCTGACCCCGAACAGCAACTAGAATGGTTTGTCAAGCACCTACCGAGGTAGATACTCAAAAGTGGAGATGAGCCTCCAAAATCAACGCCGTGTATGCTCTAACCGGAACTCCAAACAAGATTCCCACCCGTTCTCGTACACAAAGCACCATTCGATAATCTCTGCCCCCGGGCCATTTGACTGTCGACTCTCAAGGCCTACTCCTCCTTTGGCTGTCTCATCCAAGCGTCAATGGCGGCGCTAAATGCTGCAAACGCAACGCATCCGCCCGCCATAGCCTGCGGACCAGCATTCTTGGCCAGAATACCGCCCGTCAAGCAGCCTGCCGCGACGCCGTTCGCGAGATCATTCTTGGCCCGCAGGCCCTCGATGCCACATTCGATGCCGGAAAAGAGCGCGCCGACCTTGCCGAAATTCTTGGCCATCGAGAAGGAGCGAGTGCCCATGTCTTTGAAGCCGTGCTTGAGCTGTTGGCGGAGGGGTAGAGACGAGATGTTTTGGCCGGCGCTGTTGGTGACGGGTGTGCCGAAGGGCGTGTCGTAGGACATCTATCGAGGGTCAGGAGGAGGTACGAGGGGAAATGAGGCACGACGGGGAGAGAAGGAGCGACATACAGAAGCCATGAACATGCCGAAAAGACCACCCATGCCGAATCCCATGACTCCTGACATGACGGACTTGCCGTAGCATGATTCCATGGCGGATTGAACCTGTCGAGGTTAGCGGAGAGCTCACAAGGAGTTTGGGGTGGGGGGAAGCCTACAGCTTTGACGCCCGGGTCTTGAGGGCCAAAGCCGGGCGTAGGTGCGCCGGCGCCAGATGAGCCTCCTGGGAAATTCATGGTGATGTATGACAAGTATTCACTCTGCCGCAGGTGAGCCCGTGTGGTGGTGGATTCGTAGCGGCTGCCAGTCGCAAGGATGCAGAAGAAATATTTCTGCCTGTTCCCACCGCCTTCGGCGATGGATCGGCCCCGCCGACCGAGATGCGGCGCTTGTGCAATGAAGCGTCGCGCTTCGCCAGCGAAGCTATACAGAAACTAACGGCAGGGTGCAGTACCTCGGCTCAAAGTAGCTCCCTTGACAAATTTTGTTTCACAGGTATAAACTGCTATACTACTACTAAGCCCAACCACTGCTACTCCATGTTTCAAGTACGACGACCAGAAATGTCATCAAGGTACAGCGTCACAAACCCAGCATTAGAATCAACACTTTGCTGGCCAAGGTATTACTTGCTGCCGTCGAAATATGAAAATGAGTTGCAGACTCAATGAATGATAGCTGATGTTGAATCTGGCTATCCGTGTACGGTTCTAACATTGTAATATGTCGACCTTTTTCATGTGCCGTCACCTAGTATGACCTCGATCGTAAAACCAACTCAATCCAACCCTAACTCGAAACCCACATCCTCAACCCTGGTCTGACAGCCAAAATCGCCCATCCAGTGTAATTTCCTAAATGGCAAAGAAATGCCCATAGTGACATCTATAACCATGGTCCCATGTGAACCTGCTCGTGTATTGCCTGATATCAGATATCTGTGCTTTAGACATCCGCATAAAGGGAGCCTACTGTCCCCGTCCTCGAGGCTGCCACTCCGGCAACGGTGACCTTTCAACCCGCGATCTTGCATGGCGTTATTGTTCCTTTGTCGCGCCTGAGTCTTCCCCTGCTCGGCGTTAGATATGTCGTCTTATAAATTTTAATCTCTTTTTAACCTACCTTGAAGACTCTCCACAGCCTGTTGACCTGGAAGACTCTCCACAACCTTTTTAGCCAATGCTTTTCCCGAGTATATCTTGCCATATGCATCTCTTTTACGGCTGTAACGTGATGCTATAATTCTACATCAGCAGTCATAGAATAAAATAGGGCCAGCAATACATACACAAGGTACCTCCCTTGTAAGTTCGGAATGTTTGCCCATATTTTTCCTTCATCATCTCCGCAGCTCTGCCCCATGTAAAATTTTGTCCAGGAGGGTCAGAGTCATCAAACATCTCTGGTATGACGTGAGACCAGAAGTGAAAATTTTCGCCATATGTCCAATGGGAGGCCATGTCGTTGAGAAACCTGGCTGAAGTAGCTAATAATCTCAGGTATCGGAAAAATCAAGGCCGGTCTGATGGTTGCGACAATAGAAAAATGGTAAAGAAAACGGGTCGGCCACGAAGGTTATATCGGGAAAATCGACGCCGATCGGATGGTTGCGACAGTGAAAAATGGGAAAGAAAACGAGCCGGCCACGAGGGTTATATACTCCCAGGCCAAAACGAGCACAATGGCAGGTTCGATCGCACAATGATTGAACAATCCAGATCACGCGTAAGCGTCATTGCGTTGGTTTGGGGGAGAACCCGTCTTGTGAACGAAAAGAACCCTGCAGCAAGGCTAAATATCCAATGTCCGAATCTTGTTCACTTTGACCATGAGTTCAATGTTCAACTTTAGAATTCACTGACCCGGCCGTGAGGTCGTGGAGGCTGCAGACCTCTATAATCAGCAAGAAACACGGCAAGGTTGCGTTCCATTTTGGAAAACTGTGCAGTGAACATATTAGCAAGCTTGGCCAAAGCAGACACAAGTAGCGACGCCTACAATGCTCTTTTGTTGCATAGGCACTACGCCATCCTTTATCCAGAAGCCCCAGCTACCCATCATATTCGCAAGCATCATGTCTGTTGTCAATCTGTCTCCAACTACGGCAATGTGCGACGGGTCCGTCACCCCGGTCTCTGGGTGCTGCCTGAAGTATTCCATGATTTCGGATCCGCATCCCGGCTTCTTCACAGCGTGTGGTAGTACGTGAACGCCGGTGCCTCTTTCAACCTCGGCGGCTTGCTTCAGGTCTTTGTCCCAACTGGTGGCCCCGGAGGTATTGGATACCACCAAAAGCTTGCGGCCTGGATATGCCTCTTTGAGGGAGTCAAAGCGCTTCTGTGATTGTTTGAACAACGGCACGACAGCTTGGCAATGTTGGGTGAGTTACCTTGTATGGTTCATAGACCTCCTTGGCATCTGGGTAAGCAAAGCAGTCATCTTTGTCGAGAACTACAGCTCTGATGTCAGACTTGTAGCCATTGCTTCTCAATCCCTTGTCCAGAGGGATTGGCAGATCGTTGAATGTTGAAACGGTGTGGTGTGGCAAGCACATGCTAGGCTTGAATAGCAGCCGTGCGGCATTGAGTGAAGCTGAAAGATTCAGGTTCATTTCGGCGGCAGCTTTGAGCAAAATATGGAGTCTGAGCAGCCTGTGAACGCGACACAATCCCGTTGGTAGTTTTTGACATGTCAAAGTGCTGGTGGAGCTGCATCCAAACAAGGCGGCTCTCAAGGCACCAGACGTGATCAGCAGACATTTGAATGCAGGGGGCATGCGGCCCCACCACATCAGAGTACTACTGAATTGACCGTCGACGGCAGACATGGATGCAGGGAGCTTCACTGGGCCAAAGCCAGTGCATGCAATTAAGCTGGGCCAGACCAAACGTGTTCAAGATCGGTTTTGCGACGATAGGTCTTGAGCTATCGCATCTGCACCCATGTTCGCGCCTCACTGGAGCAGACGTCGTCGCCATGCCTAGGAGTAAATCCGTGGCCGATGATTCTCCTCTGGGAAGCGAGAAACGTTCCGTGCGAAAGCGATCCGTCGGCACAATGGACCTCGACAGAGAGGCTACACCTTCAAAACGAGGGCGAGTCTCGGCCCAGGAAATTATCAACGTCAAGTCATCATCCGTAGACGACAGCGAAACAGAAGATCACGACCAAGAAATACAAGTCGGCGCCACAGATAAAGCCTCTCCGTCAATAGACGTCGCCGAGGTCCCCAAGGCGACACCCAAACGCAGAGGACGCCCCCCCAAGTCACAATCGCAAACCAGCACGCCGTCTAAGACACCCGCAAAGTCAATTTTTGCAACGCCAGTCAAGAATCACGAAACTGAATCGGCGACGCCTAAAAGACAAGCGGCGGATCGATCAGCACGAAAGAAGAGTGCCAGGGCTCTCATAGAGAATGTATTCGATGATGGCGACGATGACGACGAAGAGGACGACGACGAAGTTCTCGTGCGCGAGATATACGAAGACAGCGACGCCGAGGACCTCGGTGACAACGCCGACATTTTGACCGATGGGTTGAACGACGACACTTCAGGAAATGTCACACCGTCAAAAACTCGAAAGAGCAGGCCCAAGAGAACAAAATCTCCAACGCCACCACGAGATCTGCCTCCCCACGAGCTCTACTTTGCACATAATAAGCCCGGGCGGCCAAAGACATCCGATAATACATTGGGCTCGGTCTCACTACTCACACACGACGAATACTTCAACGTACTGCACCAACACAAGGACCGTCACGCCGATGACGTCGAGTATTTGGAAAACCTTCATGCCGAATCCTTCCCGCAGTGGGCATTCGAACTCTCCCAAGGCTACAGCATATGCCTCTACGGATTCGGATCGAAAAGAGCACTGCTACAAAAACTCGCCAAATACTTGCACACTAATCACCGCGGCAAACCCGCCCGACAAATCGTCATCGTCAACGGCTACTCGCACACAACCACCATGCGAGAAGTCCTAACGTGCATAGGCTCAGCCATCGACCCTTCACAAAAGATACCCACGTCTACACCAGCCGCCACAGTCCAAATCATTTCGTCCCAATTATCCAACACCAATCTTGGCCTCACCATCCTGATCAACTCCATCGACGCAGCGCCCCTCCGCAAACCAGGCACGCAAGCCATCCTATCCCAGCTGGCCGCCCATCCCCAAATCAACCTCGTCTGTTCCGCAGACACGCCCGACTTCCCTCTTCTCTGGGACATTGGCGTCCGCTCCGCATTCAACTTCGTCTTCCACGACTGCACCACCTTTGCGCCATTCACGGTAGAACTAGACGTCATTGACGAGGTTCACGAACTTCTAGGTCGCAAGGCCCGTCGCGTCAACGGCAGGGAAGGCGTGGCATTCGTGTTGAAGAGCTTGCCGGAGAACGCGAAGAACCTGTTTCAGCTACTCGTTGGCGAGGTGCTTATTGCGATGGAAGAGGAGGGGAATATGGTGGACGAAGCAGCGGGCGTGGAGTACAGAATGGTGTATAACAAGGCGGTGGAGGAGTTTATTTGCAGTTCGGAGATGGCATTCCGGACGTTGTTGAAAGAGTGGGTTGCCTTCTTCACCCTCATCCGTATTTGTTCGTGGCTGCTAACGGGTTATAGATTCCATGACCATCAAATGATTACGAGTCGGAAGGATGCGCTGGGTACGGAGCTGCTAAGTGTACCCTTTCAAAAGGATGAGCTGGAGGCAGTCCTGGAGGATTTGATGTCATGATGAGACGTATTGCAGCTGCATGGTCATGAAACCTTGTATTATCATTTGCCTTGGGAGGGAAACAACAAACAGCTTGATGGTCATGAAACCTACAATAGGTGAAGAAATTCAAATTATACCAACTGGAGGATATCATCATTTTACAATGTTCAACATGAATCGTGTCGTCGTCAATTATATACACTATCCCCGTCATGAGAACATGGCTATCTAGCTAAGTCTATGATGTATTCTTTTCTTCTTCAACGCTTTTTATATGCCAAGACTTTTTACGCATGTCCACAGAACAACCGGCACAATCACATTATCGTTACCGCCCGTCAAAACCGCCTCAGTAAGACTCCCCATCGTCGCACAGATACCAGCATTCCTCGCACTGGCATACCACCCAACCGGTTGATCTGTCATCGGCCATCCTCCAACACGTAACCACACCCCTGCGGCGCCTAGACCTGCAAACACGGCAACGGCGAACGCTAGGCTCCCTTCGAGACTCTTTCCCCCGCCCCAGAGCCACTTACGGTGTCCATACCGACGACCAATAAGTGAAGCTGCAGCATCACCGAGGCCGACGCATATAACACCGGATACCATGCTGACATCCCGGGTTGGTACTTCCCAGCCTGATAAGCAGCCTGATCCCGTGCGAGAGAGTGAAGCTAGAGCCAGCCAGAGGGGAATTGCGCAACCGATAAGGAGGAAGATGTGAGAGATAACAACGGGGCCGCGGAAGTCTCTGCCGTCGACGTAGGGTGCCAAAAATGAAGCAATGGGTTTAGATAGCGGCGGAAGCTGACTTGCGCGGAGGAGATCGAGGATCAAGAATATAGCGAGTATAATGGATAACGCGAGGCCAGCATATGCTGGGTCGACGTATACGGCTGGGAGAAACATTCCCACCATCATAAAATGAAACACCTTGCGCCTGGTATCGACTTCGTAGGTCTCCTTGAGTTTGAATACAACGACTAGGCCAAAGACGAGAATGGTAAGCCAATAGGCGCTGAGGATAAGGCGAGTATTGGCCTCGCCAAAAGCATCATGACGAAGATGTTGGACCCAGCCGGAGTGGCATTCTTTGGCCCCAGAAATCGCTGGGAGACAGACCCATCGCTCAAGATTGGCACTAACAACTTGGAATCTGAACCAGGGTAGGTTTCCAAACATGTACCCCAGAGCCCAGCCTATTGGTTCGTGCCCATTCAGCGCAAACTGCTCGACATAGGTTCGCACGCCGACTAATATGATTCCGATAATGGCTGTGTACACATAGGCCGCATAAGCCCATTTCCGCACGAGAGCCTGCTCCTGTGTCAGTCTGATATAAGGCCGAAGTGAAAGCGATATAGCCCGCTTTCGTCTCCCAGACGGAGTATGTACAGCGCTCTTCCGCAATTTATCCGGATGTGGCATGGTATGTCGTCGTGAGATGCCGCCGCTGATGTCGTTAGGTGAGGTGACTCCAGAAGTGCCAACGGATTCTGTTGTGTCCCTGATGTCGAGATTGGGTCCAAGGGTTTTGACACGTAGTGGGCCTCGGAAGATTGGAATATCATCCTCCTCATCGGCCGATGATGTCGTCTCGGAGGGGCTATCTTCGTATACAGACCCTACCATATCACTTTTAATCCGGTGCCAAGACAATAGCTTGCGAAGTTCTTTCCAAAACCGATGCTTTTGTGAGCTTGAGGGTCGTCTAAACCGCCATTTGGGCACTCGCGCCAGCGCAATACCCCATCTAATGACTGGTCCGCAAAATACAAGCACAGCAAGACCGCCGCCCCATAACAGACCCTTTAGAATCTTCGCTTGAGGTGATGCAGACAAAATAAGCACACTGATCAATGCGATAGACAGTAACTGAAGTTCGGCGGTCAAGAGGCTAGTTGTTGTAAGGTAGTGCAAGACAGTGCACAGCGTCTGGTGAACAGGATATAATAAGACAAGTGCTTCTGCAGACAAGAATGCGTATGTTGGGTCAAATCTCGATGAATCTAATGCAGGTCCCCAAACCAGAGGCAGGCATGACAATGCCCAATGAAGGGTATCGTATGATGTGTCAACGTCAAGCTTCGGTATCAAGGCCTGCGGTAAGGAACTGATGCTCAAGATTATACTGGGTAAAATTGTCCCCGGATTGCTTCGAGCAACTAGCAAACAAACAAAGGTGGTGATTGCAGGAGGGTATAGTAAGGGGGCAGGGTCAAAGTTGGTTGGTATTCGGAGCGGGATCCATTTCGATGGTCGCCTTGTTCCGAATCCCCATGCCAAAACTCTTAAAGGATATAAACCCAACAGGGTGAGGTACAATAGACCCAATAATTCAAAGTCTGTAGGCTGTTAATCAACATCGCCAAAATAGGATGCGTGCATGCGTACCTTTTCTCCAGACACGAAATAATGGTGATACGTGACTACTCGTCACAACCATGAATCCCAGCGATCCCACAAGGCCGACCTCGGTAAGCCTTCGCACCAGAGCCCTATTTCGTCGCAAAACATCGAGCCAGCGCTTCTTACGCTGTCCCACCTTCGGACGTAATCTCTGCGATATGGCCTGGATATGGTCGTCATCCAGGGCAGCTGGGGACGGTGCAGGTGTCGTAAAACCTGATGTCGGCTCGTCGTAGTCTCTTAATCCTTTGTGTAGCTTGGTCTTTGGTGCTGGAAGGCCCTTGAGGAAGTGCTCGTCATCGGCTTCGGTGCCGCTCTCACTTCCAGGCGAAGATTCTTTCGAGAAGGCCGGGAGTCTCGTCGGCGATAGGTGTGCCCCGTCGTTACCACTGCCACGAGACACATCGTGCGTTGTAAAGCGCTCTGATGAATGCGGCAGCTCTGAGCTCTGGTGGTGGTATGGATGGGGAGAGCGGTTCAGGGCACGCAGCGCGTCATGCTGCTCTGGATCAGAAGGCGCCAGCGAAGCCGAGGTGACGTTTTGTGACATTTGACGAGGTCGACAAATCGAGTCGCTCGAGGGAAATCATTGATCGCGGCTGAGGAGCTGACCCAAACAATTGGGGTTTCGAGCGACAGACAACCTACCTGGGCAGGCAGCTAGGGATGATATGAGGGATGGGGCTCAACAAGGAACAGTCCACTTCATCGGGTCGCTTCAGATCGTCGAAGGCCAAACAACATGAGTCGAGATTGAAATGTTGTTTTGGTGAAGCTGGGTTGGGGGAATGGAGCAATGCAGTCACATGCAATCTGCCAAGCTGTGCGCTTTCGTACCTGAGTACTCCCTAAATGACGGTTTAACGCGGAGGTGTGGAACTTTAGGACGTGGGAACTGCGATTTGTCGGTGCTTCTTGAGAGACCGTGCCCCTCGCTCGCTGAGCATCACGTGAGAGCGATTGACAAAGGTAATGGAAGGAATTTTTGTCTTTCTAGGCCAAATGAACTGAATACTATTCAATCTATTGTTGTTTTGTTGATGTAGCTGTCATTCAGTATAGTCCTTGTTCCAATGCAGCCTCGCCGCCATTGTACACTAGAGCCAAATATAAATTCTCCCCCATTTGGAGCGCTGGCTGCCCATCACATAATACTGGAGATAGTGCAGTACATTATGTAAATATTTAAAAACCATTGTATGGAACCAATAGTTCATTTTTCTGTCTTGGTGTGAAATTATAATAGATATAAAAGTGACCTTTGTCACAACTACACTTTATCGAGTGTACGAGGTCTAGGGTAGCCCGGCTGTCTGGTGGGCCATATCTGATTGAGAATTTGAGAGGTTAGGTGTCCTAGAGTCGTAATATGATCGCTGCCTTATTGCCGTAGGTACGCAGTACGTCAATATGTGTCACTTCGATAGAAATAAGCATTCACGAATTTCAACCCAGCGAAAGCCTTAGGATGTCACTGTACGGAGTACAGAACAGCATCTCCGAGGTACCTGCCTACCTGTGCTCCTCTGGGATAGCATCTGCTATGCGCCCTAGTTCATAGTGTCATCGCAACGGTGAAGAGCCCCGGGATCGCACCTTCCCAATTGACTTCTCTTGAAGCCTGTTATGAAGACACTCTACGCTTCATTAAAAGAGGCCCAAAGTTTCTCCTCTTGTCTTTGATAGCTTGGAATCTCCCGCGGTATGAAGTATATCAATATGGGTTTTTTTCATCAAATTGCCTTCCAGGGTCTGGTTCAAATCGAAGACGCCCGCCGAGAGGGGTCCTTGAAAGCCACATTAAAAGCCACGAGCCGCGAAGTATGCGCCCGCGAGATGTTTGCGCGGCGGTATCTAAAATAAGATCCTGGCACCTCCCTTGCACCGCCCAGCCATCCATCGCCTTCTGAAGCAGTCGTTTTAGTATTAGTGTTTGTTCGCTCCCACGCAGAACCATGCCAACCATCCGGATTGTAGACAGGCTGACGCGTTGCAGAAATTCTCCTCACGCGTGGCACGAGCGCGAGGCGGCCAACCCCCACGTTAAAAAAATACACCACTCCAGCTCCCGATTCAGCAGAATCAGCGCAGATGTACGTAGTACTAGTATCTAGATGCCGTTACTCAGCCTTAGGCCTGCAGGGTGGATCGAGGCATACAGAGTACACCCTCGGCAATCACCCAGCCTCCCTATGTACTACGTACAGATTCTGCAGTGGAAACTACATATACGTACCCCATGCCTCGACCAGGAGACACTGGTTTGATGAGAAGTACGAGAAATACAGCATGAACAATTACCAGTTAAAACGAGATGCTAAAAATGGTAAATCGTATGCGAGACATCAAGTCAAGTCACTGATACTCAATAGGAATACAAACATTTTCTCCACAAGTCGAAGCATTCGTTGCTAGGTAGTTACATAAACTCAGTTAAAGACACACACCAAAGTCGAGGATAAATACGGAGGACACGAGATCCGACCACAACGGTCAGAATATGCCTCTGATGGAATACTAGCTTTGATAGTCCTGTTTCACCAGCAAGCCCGCTTGTGGGAACCAACTTGTTGACAGGTCTCACAATTAAAGCGGGCTCGGAAGGGAATCCGAGGTGGGAACCGGTGGTTTACCACACTCCAACACCATCGCAGGAGTCAAGGCGCCGCACAGGGCATGAATGCCGGCATCTTCCCTTTTTGACAAGGGAGCAGGCGCATACATACAGCAATACGAATAGTATTATTCGCGATGACCATTTGCATAGAAATATCACTATAGACCTCGGCAGCAGGAGACCTAGTGCGAGCACTCTCGATAGTATGCAGACCAAAGTCTTTTGTATGACCAGGCATCATTGCGACTACAAAAAAGACACAAACAAGAGGTATCAAAAAATGTCGCATTTTTAGTGGTACGGAGTATGAGTTTTGCTAGCAGCAGATCAAGACGGCGTCTGATGTCGGCGACGCTCGGGGGTCGTCGGGCGTGCTTGGACTCGGCATTGGATGACGACGGTCAACGGGGGGTGAAACAAGTCCAGCCAATGCATTTTGGTGCTCCCGGCGGGTAGTGCTGGATCTATCAACCAGGCCATTGGGTGAATACGGAGGCGGCAGTGCAGCCAAACACTCAGACACTGGCAAGCTGTTTTTCTTAGCTGGTTCGTCATGTTGACTGTTCGTATCACCAGTGCGGGACACAATACGAGTTTCGGCCCCCCTTTGCAAAGACAGCTGCCCCGGAGGGGCGAGAAGGCCCAGCCTGGCCTGTTGCTGAGAAGGCTTCTCCGAAGCATGCATGGGCGCAAGCCCACACCACATGCTTGGCAATGATGTCACTGGGAAGCCTGCAGTACAACGGAAGTGGCCGATTCTGGACAACAAGTTCAGTCTGTTGCGGTGGAAGAACAGCTGAGCAAACTGGGCGACTTCAAATGTTGTTGATACAGCGATGGCTAGTTGCCGACTGCTGATGGACGACCAAACCACGCGTCGCTCGACATGAAGCGGTGACGAAGCAAACACCACTGGAGGCCGACCATGATTTCCAGCCCTCGCAATTTTGAGGCGTGCTTCCAAAAAGCAGCACATGCACGAGAGGGGACCTGAACGACCAGCCAGGGCCAGCCCCGTGTGCCCCGTCCAACGAGCCCGTTAGGTGGCGTCTTGAACGCTGCCCCTGTCCGTTGGACCTGTGGACCTGGATGTGCGATCCGCCAGCCTGGCAAGCCAAGCCAAGCCAATTGCTATCTCGAGTGGGGTCAAAGAAAGAACAAGGAAGACTGGAAAGACGACATCGAGGCTCCAGCCGCCAGTGTGAGCCGTGCCAGCACAATCCTGGCTACTACTACTACTCCGTACTCCGTACTATGGAGTCAATACTAGTATCCCTGCCATGGGCAGCTGAGCCGCGCCGGTACGATGGACTAGTACTAGACTCGAGAGGAGAGCCTGTCCCGAGCGCGTATCTGCACCGTCCACTCGGGGTGGCGGGCGTGCAGGGGCGTGTAGTGTGACTCTGTGTCAGAGTTAGGCGCGGATGGTCGGCCTAGTCGTTGGGAAGGCGACGATATCGAACGTTATTCAGCTGCCATGTGCAGTCTATTTATCCAGGATTTCCTACTATGAGCCCTCAGTCCCTGACTCCAACCGTCCTCTCTCGTGCCTCGTGCTCTCAACTGCCTGCTGTGGGAAACTTCCGGCCTTTTATTCTATCGGTCCCTGTTAGGCCGAGTATTCTTGCATTTTGCATTACTATCCTGGGCCATCACTGACTGGAACAAGTCCAAACGACATCATACAGCTTGCACACCCCTCCATCTCGGTCTGCCGTGGCGGGAGCTGGCTTCGACATCCCGTTGCCATTTGATCATACTTTCAATATTATCACGGCCACACTGCCCCCAAAGGCCCGGAGGCTGATGATATCGGTCTGATCTCCTGTGCTCCACTGGCAATTCATCACACGCCGTACAATACTAGTACGACTCTCATGCTGACAAGCTCCGCTGGATGTGTTCTGCATAAAGCGCATGTAGGCCATTCCGCCTCCATCTGCCAGATCACTATTTCGTCCCTCTTACTTGCTGATCTTGGGCCACGGGAGACAGGAGACTGGAGACTGGAGCGGAAATCTGCAACCCACGGATGCAAGATAGTCAAGTACTACAGCCTGCGCGCTCTTGTTGTTAATCTCGACTCGGGTTTGGCTCGATATTTCTGCCCCGCTTGAGAAAAAGCCCAGATCGCATAATTATCACATCACATCGACACAAACACTCTCCACTGCTTCTCTTGCTGTCTAGCGGCTTGGCCACACTGCTTTACTTCCATTTGACTTCCTCCCTCTACCCGAGTAGCATTAGCTCTGCATTGTACAGGAACTGCTTGTTCCATCGGTCCTCGTTGACAAGTATACACCCGATTCCTCAGCCTTTGTTTTCGGCACCTTGGGGTCCCAGTTTACGATTTCACACCCCATCAGATCTCCGCTTATTCCTAACATCGGATACTAGGAGGGGTGTAAAGCATACATACCTCCGTTGTTGTACATTGCACGCCGCCTCGCCCCCCCCATCCAATCACTCCTACTTGGTCCTCTTCTTTTACTCTTATTGATTTCAAAGGAACTGTGTGTTGCTTTTTACGGAACCCGGGTGTATCTTGCTGTCTGTGGAACTCTATCTCTTCTCCGGATGCTACACGCAGTGCATCGACTACATAACACCCTTTAGTCCCAACTCATTTTCTCACAATGGCTCCTATGGATTTGAGAGAATATGGCGACGCTCAACTAGAGACAGGACTACTGAGGACACACGAAGAGGAGAAGATTCCATTCACCCCAACTGGGCTTGAACAGTCTCAGACCGGTCCAACATATCATCAACCGGAACCCAAGGAGTCACGAAAGATGTCCTCACATAGACGGATGGTTATCATCGTGATGCTGAGCTTGCTCCTTGGATTTGGAGTAGCTCTGGCTAAAAACCCCTCCTTTCCTTCATCTTGTATGGGATGGACCCGTGCCAACGAGAATATTCACACGAAAGCCGCTCGTTCCTTTCTGGAAAAGCGTGCTGATGCCTCTGCCACCAATGCGACTACACCTGGAGCACCGACGGAGAAGAGCGAATCTGGCACTGGACAAGGACAGCTGACGACACCCACCACATCTGCAACTCCGACTTCATCTAGCCGTAAGTTCAAGTCTCCCGACGCATCAGTAAGGGGGATCGTCCAAACTAACGGGAGTTTTTAGACGAATCCACGACATCAACCGCTTCGTCGACCATTAGTCACTCCTCCATCCCCTCTCCTACGAGCACTCCCGAATCATCAACTCCTTCTCCGTCCATAATACCACCGGCCAGCCCGACAAGCTCTACTTTTCCGAGCCCAACTCCTGCAAGCACTTCAACTACCTCCCAAGCGCCTGAATCCACTCCCTCTGGTACGTCCTCCACGAGACATGAGACTGTCTCCGAATCTTCTTCCTCCAGTGTATCTCCAGTGTCCTCTTCCAGTATGTTGCCAAAGGATGACCTCTCCTCTTTCTCTTCCTCTTTCTCTTCCATCAGTTCGTCCATAGCACCGTCCACCGTGCCGCCCAGCAGGTTTACCGGTCCTTCTTCGAGTGGGTTATGCTACCAGCACTGTCCTTTAGTCCCCAAATTGATCTATCAGGCCAAATATACGAACCTCCCATTCCACTAATCACACCTCATATTTGTATATGAGTCACCAAAAATTGTATGAATAGCTCCAGTGTCTAACTGTTGGTGCCTCCAGCTCCAGGGGAGACTCCCAAGTCTTCAGTGCCTGCTGTATCTACGGGTGGGTGTCCACGCATATAGCCCATGATTTTTTTTATCCATCCACAAATCACCACATCTTTCAACGCTCGCAGACCAGGATACCTACTTTTTGATTTGATTCACTTGCATTGACTTGCTGCAAAGTCGCTGACCGTTTGATTAGAAGCATCATCTTCTGGCGAAGCTGCCCCTACTTCGAGCAAGATCGAGAAGACTATCACGACCGGCCGTGTCGCCACAACCAGCCCCGTACGACATACCTACACCACTACGTTACCCGACGGTGGTACTCGCACCATAACATCCACTTCTTGGGTGGCTATTGTGCCCACGGATAAGTCTACTGCCGACGGCGGGCCCCAGTTGCAGAATCATGCGCCAAAAGCTCAAGGCCATTTCACGCTCATTATTGCTGCTGGGGCGTTCGCAGTTGGCATGTTACTGATTTAACATTATTTCCACATCTGTTTACTGATCGTATTTTGAATTATGCGAATCGTTGATTAAGCATGGCGATATGCATTGCGTCGGTGGATTAGGTCTGATGATTTAACGACTCTCCTTAATTGTTTGGTTTGGAAAAATTAGACCATAGGCATGCGACTGCCTCGTACTGTAGATTGCAAAAAGCGGAGTAGAATGGCCAATGAGATGAATTTCAAGGATGCGACTGATTGTGACAACTAATGGTACAAGGCATAGATGGGACATGGTGTCGTGAATATACAGACTATTAGAAAAAAGGGCATCTTTTGGATTCCTCTCACATGGACACATGGACACCATAATTATTCAATATTGTGTTGATTATGACAGTTCTAATTGTAGGTATATGCAAAGCGCCGCAACTCCATGCCCATTTTCGTATCCCATTCCTTTCCCAAATCACCCACCAACCACGTCCTTAACCGGGTCCTATCTTTGGCATATCGTGATGTTCACTGAGTTTCGACAGGTATGTGTTGAGTTCCTCGACTCGTTCCTTGTGCGTTTTCAGTAATTCCGGTCGAGAACTCGACGACTCAGCCATCTTTTGCAGCTGTACCCAAGTTAGCGACTGTCTTTGTCGGTGTTTGGCCGTTATGCACATACCCTCTTCTTTCTGACCTCGTCGTATTTCCTCTCGGATTCCGTCTTTCGTGCAACTGCGCCATTGTCGTCGCTCTGATCGCCCTTGCTGTCACGGTGATCCAGTTGCTCGTCGGCGGCGGGAGCACCGTCGCTCTTCGCTAATGCGCCCTCGCCCGCGGACAAATTCCTCTCCAAATCGTTCTTGTCCTTCTTCTTCTTCTTTTTCTGAACCTTGGCGCCCTTGAGCTTGAGGGCGCCTCCCCCAACAGCGGTGTAGTCGCTAGGCGGCATGGTGATGTGGTTGCTGTGTAGCACGGCCGCCCGCAGATGTCTTTGGCTGAAGTCCTCGGATGGAGGAACGACCGACTCTGTGCTTAGTCACCACAGACAAAGACGGGAGCCAAGGCCCTTCAATGCCGGAACTCCATCTTGGCGGCAGCCAATGAAAGCATCATTTCTCCATCATCAATGCTTGCTCGAGCCGCTACTAGCTTCTGTGGGCTTTTCTGTCTCCTATTGACGGAAACCAAAGCGCCTCCCCCTACACTTTTTGCTATTCAGGATAAACGCATTAGACGAAGAGCATCCGTACGGTTTCATTTTTACTCTGGATCCCGCCGTTGTCACGCAGACATTTGGACGAAACATCGCTTGCATCGCTCCTACCACTTTCGCACATCCCTGCAGCGTCACAGGCCCAAAAGGCCCTGCTGTTGTTGGTCCATCGCCATCCTACGTTTTTGGTTGACGAACGTGCCTTTTGCTTGCACTGTGCGCGTTCTGAATATGAGCTATTTCTGCTAGCCTTTTTATATTTCTCGAATACAGTATCGCGTTTTGTTACCGGCGATCGAACGTACAGATTAGAAGCTCTCTAGGCCGGGGCTGGTTTCTTCAGGGAGCTCGCGATGTCCCCTTATGCGGTGCAATCGCAGTCGCGAGACTCCTTAGAACTTGCGTCTCTGGCGAGCTCGAGCATGATAGATGGTGGTGCAGTATCAGAAGTGTCCTCCAGACCGAGCATTTCGTCATCACGGAGGCTGTCACTGGTGGAAGAAGAGGATCCCCTCGACGATGGTAATCCGGCCGGAAGATTAGGACGGTCATATTCGGTATCCTCGACGTTTGATTTCGCTGCGAATTTGTTCCCTTTGAGTTCGACTACTGGGGCGGGAGGGTATGCGCCAGTTGGAGCGCCGACTTCTGGCGCGCGATCGGGTGGTGCGCTGGGAGGAGGATCGTTGGAGAAGCACAAGACGCTGACTTACCTGAACGGGCTGTCGCTCATCATTGGCCTCATCATTGGATCGGGAATATTTTCGTCACCAAGTCAAATCAGCTCCAAGGTCGGTTCACCCGGGGCGGCGATTGTAGTGTGGATTGTTGCCGGAATCCTGGCTTGGACTGGTGCGGCGTCATATGCTGAACTAGGAGGCGCAATACCGCTGAATGGCGGGTCGCAGGTTTATCTCTCCAAGACGTTTGGTGAGCTCGCTGGATTCTTGTTCACTTGGACAGCCGTGTTGGTGTTGAAGCCTGGAAGTGCTGCCATCATTGCTATCATCATGGGGGAGTACTTTGCGCGAGCCATCATCGGGGCCGACGCAGAAGATGTAAACCCGTGGGTGAGCAAGTCGGTGGCGTTGCTGGGGATTTGCACCGTTACGTGTTTCAACTGCATTTCTACGCGGATGGGTACGCGCATCAACGACGTGCTTATGTTTTTAAAGTTTGTGGCATTGCTATTCGTTACAGTGGTTGGTATCATAGTTGCTGTGAAGGGATATACATTCAATGGAGAGAAGGATAATGCCTGGAAGCCACAGGACTGGTTCAAGGATACTTCATTCGACCTGTCAAACTGGGCTATCGCATTGTATGGCGGCCTGTGGGCGTATGACGGGTGGGACAATGTGAGTATATATCGTTTCGCCGTGTTGGTCGCTTTTTATTTACTAACCGTCTTGCAGACGAACTATGTTGTTGGGGAGTTCCGAAATCCGAGCAGGGATCTTCCGCGGGTTATTCACTCAGCCATGCCGCTGGTCATTGTGAGCTACGTGCTTGCCAATGTAGCATACTTTCTCGTATTGCCCGTCGAGCAGGTCAATGGTTCTAATACCGTGGCGGTCATGTTCGGCTCCAAGGTATTTGGCTCCATCGGCGCCGTCATCATTGCTCTGATGGTCAGCGCAAGTTGCCTTGGCGCTCTCAACTCTTCCACCTTTACCGCAGGCCGACTTGTCTACGTTGCCGGCAAGGAGGGATACATCCCAAGCATATTTGGCAAAATCGGCGTGCACAGCCAGGACCCTAGCCTGACGACCCAACGAACACGAAATTGGTTCTCTAAGAAAATCCACCGCTTCGTTGGGGACGACGAGATGGGCCTCTTCTTTACGCCCATATACGCTTTAATCCTCAATGGCTTCATCACTGCTGGCTACTGCGTCGTCGGCGAATTCCCCACGCTCCTTACCTTCTACGGCGTTGCTGGATACACGTTCTACTTTTGCACTGTTCTTGGCCTCATCATCCTCCGCGTTAGAGAACCCCAACTTGAGCGCCCATACAAGACATGGATCACAACCCCAATCATATTCTGCTGCGTCAGTCTCTTCCTTCTCAGCAGAGCTGTCTTTGCGCGACCGGTCCAAACTGTCGCCGTGGTAGGCTTCGTTGTGGCGGGAATCCCCGTGTACTTTTGGCGTATCCGGGGTAGGGACAGGTTTCGGAAACCAGGCGACGATGGGGGGCATCGGCCATGGTGGCGTTTTTGGAAACATTGAAAAACTGAACAAGCATCAGCCGGCGCAGTGTTTTTTCTGAATACATTTCATTGGGAATGGATGCGTACAATTGGAAGCAGAACACGTGAATTTTGTCTTTTGACCCCTTCAGGATGGAGGAGCCTTTGTATTTTGGGTAATACTGAGAGGTACATTTATGACCCCAGCACAGGACAAGCTGCTAATGACGAGACGGGCGGTTGGCTTAGGCAGTCGGTGTATTGTGAAACGGTACATACGCAGATAACACAATACATAATGCATGAAGATGGATTTAAACGCCCATCTGCACCGTTCAGACCAGCTTGCATACGCGATGGTGGTGGTGATTGGCGGGTGGGTTGCCGCGGGCGGCTACAGATCGGCCCCCAGCAGGCCGTTGGCAAGGCCTCTGCGTTGGGCGGAGTTTTTCGACTTTTTTTCACGGCATGGGCACGTATGCGTCTTTGATGGCGCTGCCGTCTGGAATTACTTAAATGGCTTGCTGTGCGGCATTTCGTGCCGATCGGCTCGCGACGATGTCTGCGGACGTCGTGCTACATAAGGAACGAACCCTTGGCATGTACGTGTATCGCTGTGCCCTCTTGTATACCGCTGTGCTATCCGGACCTTGTGTGTTTTGCATAGAAGCAAACTATGAATGGCCTCCCTGTTCTCTGGCTGCTCGCGGGCCGAGCTGCCGCGGCGGACGATGACCTGTCCGACTTCACCAACAACCTGGCGCAGGATCTCGGGCCGCTGCTGGCGCTGTTTGGCGAGGCCGTGACGAAGCAGTATCTCAGCGAGAGCACCACTTTCCTCGACTACTTCACCTTCGCCATGGGCCCGCTGGGCATCATCACGGCCGTGGTGTCGGTCATCCGGGTCTGCGGGCACCCGTCCCTCCGGGCCTTCATCGGGAGGTCGCAGGAGGGCGAGGCGGCCGTGGAGGCGGAGCTGTGCGCCTCGACGAGCCGCGACGTGTGCGAGCTGTTCCACAAGGGCGGCATCGCGCGCGTCCTCGGGAGGCAGCCCGATCTGCTGGAGCTGGTGGCCGTGTCGCCCGCCGGCGGCCGGGGCCGGGGCAAGAGGCTCGAGATATTCCAGGACCACATCCGCAACGCGGACGAGACCATGTACTGGAAGCGCAGCCGGGGGTCCGTCTTCAGCCCCGACGACAAGTCGGGCCGTTGCCAGATGTCGCCGACGCCCAACCTGTCGCTCAACATTGGCATCAAGAGGCCCAAGCTGTGGGTGGTGTCGCTGGTCGCGCTCAACGGGCTCGTGCTGCAGGCCGGCATCATCGTCCTGGCTGGCTTCGGGGCGTGGCGGCTCGGCTGGAACAAGTACCATCCCGACAATGCCACGGCGCGCGACTACGCGCCGAGGATGTTCATCGCCGGGAGCTTGCTCCTGTCCCTGGGGATGTGGGGATGCGCCGTGCTCATCGGCCAGGCCACGCAGGAGGTGAGGTTCAGGCGCGACGAGCAGGCCGCCGGGCACAAGACGCGGCTCATCTGGCTCCAGCCCGGGCCGCAGCTTGTTGGGGAGCAGAGCTTCGACCCCAGCTCCTTCTTTGAAAGCGAGAAGCAGCCGCTTGAGTACTGGGTTTCGTCGCGGAAGCGAAAGGGGTCGGAGAGGCTGTTCGAGGTCCTGACCTTCTTGGCGGTGCTTGCGTCCGTGGTTGGGTATATACTTCAGTTTATTGGCCTGCGAGGCATGAATGCGTGGCTGTCGCTGGCGCAGCTGGGCGTCACGCTGTACATGAGCATGCTGCGAGGGGCGCTCCGGATACAAAGGCTCCAGAACCATGAGAACAAGTTGTCGAAAATCCCGGACCTGGTGGCCGGCCACGAACTCGACTGGCTGGCGTATGAGCTGGCCTTTGACGACTCCCCCATGCAAGCGACGGGGCAGCCGCAAAGGGGAGCCAACTGGCACATTGTGAGTGGGAAGATGCCGAGCGATGATAAGCCCATGACGGTTTGTAACGGTGGTTCTTTCGAGCTCAGTGGTGCCTCCGTGTCCAGTCGACGCAACTCCTGCGACAAGACGTCATTGCGGGAGTTCATCGGCTCTCAGGGGTGCAGCGACTTGTATTACGAGCTGTTCGACCTTCGCGTCCAGCTGTCTGGATTAACGGGGAACCAGGGCATGGCGAGTCTGGCAACAGGTTCTGGAGGTGGGAAGCCGTGGAAGTCCGACATGGTCGCCGTTCGCAAGTCCGCCATCAAGCTTGCTGAAGCGCTTGGCGAGATAGCAACTGCGCTTTTTTCCGGGGAGAATCGTGCAAAGAGGAGCGACTTGACGGTTCCTGTCGAGGCTCTTGCTCATACGGATTCTGAACCTTGTTGCTCCAGCACGCTGACGCAAGTCGTCGGTGTTGAGATGAAGGCCCCTGAACCAACTCAGCCAAAATGGAGAGTCAACGCGGCTCATATAGAAGCTATTCTTGGCCTTTGGACTTGGTCGCTGGTGTCTTCTCAGGACGTAGTCGGAGACAGTGAATCTCCAAACACGTCTGCCAGCTCAAAGGACAGAGCGAGCGTCTCGCACCAAATTCTGGCAGCTGGCTTGGATAATGAATATTGGAACAGCGAGGTCGACATCGAGGTCGAGCTGAACTTTTGGTTCGGCCCTAATACACATCTCCTTTCCAGGGAAAGCCTCCGCCTCGGTAAGGGCATGAAATGTGACAACTTCACCACGCTGTGTCGCCAGTTAACTGGTTCCGGCGGCTGGGAGAAGCTGCCGAGATCGACGGAGTCGTCGTCCTCCCTGCTGAGCTGCAGCAAAACCCCCATCTTCCAGCTGCGGCTGTTCGGATGGAATATTCTATGCGAGTCCTTGGCAATCAGTGGCACGGATCCCGTTGGGGCCTCGGATGTTGTTAAATTGCAGAGTTCCCAAGACGATAGCCACGTTTCTATTGGTGTTCAATACTTGCGGTCTGAGTGTAGTATCATTGATTTGTGCACCCAACAGCTCCTGATAACCCTGGTGAAGAACCTGATCAGTCTGGCGGCACTGCCGATTCCTGAATCCACCGTCTCGGAGAAGGAAGGGTTCATTCAGCTGCAGAATCCATTGGTCGCGACGTTCGAAAAGGCATTCGTCGACAGCGAAATCGGCTCTCGAACGGACGCAATCACCACCATTATCCCCCAACTGAGACGGCAACTCCTCCCCAGCGACGAGAACCTGATATCCAGTCTCGTCCAGTCGGCAAACACATTCAGACAAAAGGGGGAATGGGCTCGTGCGGCCGTATTGCTGAAATGGGGGTGTCGTCACTTTTCGCCGGAGCACATGCGCAACCGCCATGCGGATCGAGCTCTGCAATGGCAGTTTTTCGAAAGGATCCTCAGGGTCGCGGCTGAGTTTTACCGCTACTCAGCTACCTTGAAGAGCGACAAAATGGGCATCTCGTACGCGCAGGATGGGCTGAGAGAAATGAGGGATATGTGCCACTTCATGCTTCCCTCATCCGAGGAGGACAGCGTCGAGCCGTGCCAGCAGAACATCACCTCCATGCTGGCTTGCTATGCCGACGTGTTCGACAAGTTGGCAGCAGAGACAAGCCGCCCCCGAAAAGCCAACAGCGTACACCCCTTTGTGCATGCCATTGACGACGGCAACAGAGTCGACGCCCTCTACGAACTGAGTTTCCTCCACAGCGGCGACTTTGGATCCAAGTCCCTCAAGCCCGCTCTGCCGCTTGCCATTCGCAACCAGTGGACCGAGGTAGTCGATGCGCTTTTCGAGATGAGGGTTCATCCTGACAGCGAAGACGAGGCCGGGAGAACCGGTGCTTCCCACTGCGCCGAGCTCGGGCACGTCTCTCTGCTGCGCGAGTTGGCGGCCCGGGGTGCCTTTTTGGATCAATCGGACAACATGGCTCGCACGCCGCTGCACTGGGCGGCGCTGAGCGGGCAAGACGAGATTGTGGCCGTGCTCTTGGAGACGGGTAACGTGGATATTTCCCGACGGGACCAAGACGGCGTCGTGCCATTCTGGCACGCGATTGAGAAGAACCATGACAGCATCGTGCGTGCCCTTCTGGATCGAGGCTTCACCGTCGATGCACGGAGGGCGAAACTGGATCGGTCTCCGATATCTTGGACGGCGGAGCACGGGCAAGCTGAGATTGTGCAGCATTTGGTCCAGAGCGGCGCCGAAGTCAACAAGGCCGAAAAGGGATTACATGCGGGGTTTCATCCACTGCATCACGCTTGCGAAGGCAGTCACGAAGACGTCGTGCGTGTGTTGCTGGAGGCCGGGGCCGATCCCAACGTGCGCAGCGAAAATGGGCGTACGCCACTGCATTTGGCCGCCGCGGCAGGCAGTACAGCTATTGTACAAATCCTCCTTAGTTTGGTGCCCGATGTAGATGAAACGTGCAATTCCGGGAACACGGCATTACACTATGCCGCAAGTGAAGGACGTGTGCATCTGCTCAAGATGCTAATCGATGCTGGTGCGGATATTGAGCGTGGTGATGACGAGGACAGGCGGCCAATTCACGCGGCTACGAAGAGTAACTATTTTTGGTCGCACCCAGACGCTGTTTTTGAACTTCTCAAACTGGGAGCTGTCATCGACCCTGTTGACAAAATTGGACATACTCCTTTATGCTTTGCGGCCGACAATGGACAAGCTGGCATTATTGAGGAGCTGTTGAGCCGAGGCGCAAATGTAAACCATGCTGATAAGCACGGACAAACCCCTTTATATAATGCGGCCCAGAAGGAACGGTTTGCAATCGTGAAAAGACTGCTAGAAGCTGGAGCTGATGTACACTGCCAGGACAAGAATGGCAACACGGCTTTGATAGCTGCTACGGATTCGCTGTGGGGTGGATCCGACTTGGTACAGCTGCTGCTCGAGCACGGTGCTGTAGATGTTCCAAGGAAGGACGGGGCAACAGCTCTCTCAATAGCTCGAAGCAATCGTTTCTGGAGCACTGAAGAAGTTTTGCTGCAATCAGGCAACTACCCAAATACATATAGGGAGGGCCAAAG